ATAAATCTCATCCTCGTCCTCTCCTCTGCAATGGGATGGTTGGAGAAGCATTTGGTAGATGAGTACACCGAACGCCCACCAATCGACTGCTCGGCCGTATTTTTTATCTAACAGAATCTAGTTCAAAATTAGCTATGTTAGGATATCAATAATCCTAAACTTACCTCTGGAGCCATGAATTCCGGAGTACCACAGAAAGTGCCTGTTGTCGAACCATACCACATATCTTCCTTACATAGACCATAATCGGCAATCTTGATATGGCCATCAAGAGTCAATAGAATGTTGTCCAACTTCAAATCACGATAAATGACACCATTCTCGTGGAAATATTTCAACGCCAAGCACACCTCAGCAGCATAAAACCTAAAATTGTCAATGAAAGCTGTTAACAGAGGAGACAAAGAATAACTTACTGGGCACGCTTAGTTCCAAACTGTCCTCGTTGAATATGCAACATAAGATCACCACCACTAATATACTCCATAACGAAGTATACTCTCGTTTCTGTTTGAAAGCAAGCATGAAGGCTCAACAAGAAAGGATGACGTTCCTTATTGGCGATCAAGAATACTCTCTTCTCAGATCTAGTACTTTCTACTTCGTCGTTCTCAATGATGAACTCCTTCTTCAAAACCTTGATAGCATAAAGTTGCTTAGTTTGCTTGGTCTCAGCAAGCATGACCTTACCAAAATTACCTTTACCAAGAACTGCAAGAAAGTTGAAATGATCCAGACCAATGCGACGTCCGGTACCTGGTTCGTTTGCCGCAGGAGCTGGCTTGCGTTGTTGATGAGGTACAACTTGCTGTGAACCTACTTGTGAAGGTAATGGAATCTCCGGAGGCGGAGCTTGTGAAGGGGGTGCAAACATTGTTGCGGATGGTGGAGGAGGCGGGAGCATCGAAGGTGAAGGTTGAAGTTGTGGAACCGGCTGACCATAACCACTATTGACGTTTGCATATGAAGCAGGATTATAACTTGGTTGTGTGGGCATTTGTGGTTTTGGAGTACTATCTTCGGTGTGTGTATCAAGGCCTTGCACACCCGAGCCTCGTCGAGCTCCAGTTTGTGGAGGGTAATCGGCAGAAGTTCGTTGATATTGGTTTCCTTGGGGTATTTGTTGCCGACCGCCCATCGCAGCTGCGGCGGCAGCTGCAGCACTTGATTGCGTAGATGTTCGATCAGGTCCCTCTGGTCGTTGTTGTTGTGGTGAAGTAGTACCATGTACATACATTGCCTTGGCGGCTTCGGTAGCTTCAGTAGAGCTAGGTGCTCTAGGGGGCCGTGAAGTGTCAGGTGATCCGTAGGAGTTCCGTTGATCAGCCGGTATGCCTCCTGCTTCTGGTCTTTTCTCTCTTAAAGTTTTCCCAGTCATAGGGGCAGGTATTGGTTGTCGGCGCTTTTGAGTTTTAATACCGTCAAGAATAGCCCTCGCGACTTGCGCACTCATACCACAGAAATCCGGAACGAGATGTACACAGTGTGCATGACATGTAAGGTTACATTCTACGGTTGTTAGCTAAACAGACGTTCAACTTGGTGAAAAAGTACTTACCTGTGCATTTACGACAATTTTTCTTACCGAATGGTAGAACATATCCACAATGACAACACCAATTGGCGCTCATATTGTTGAACTTCTCGAAACGATGCGGAATACGATGATTGATCTTCTCCTCGTCGGGATCAGTTTCCGCATTAGATTTGCTGATACATTTGGTAACAACTTGTGAGAAACACTTTGTATGACAAGTATATTTGCAGTCCTCGCACTGCATACCAGCAGTATATGTGAGAAAGTCGCCGCACAGTGCGCATCGCATGATGTTGTAGAATTGCTGTGAAATGAACTTGTGTCCGTACATCTCATGGACCTCTTCCTTTCTTTGACGGATGGCACCTTTACGACCAAGGGCAAGGTCAAATGGTCTTCGATCTTTAGACTGCTTGGTAAATGAAATGTTCAAATTCACGGCGCCACTAGGCTCAAGAGCAAACCATGCATCGATCGGCTGTGGTGCTACCACTGCATTCCCACCACCGCCAAACGCGTTTCCTTCAGCTGGTTGTGCTCCAGTACCCGGGCTCCCTGGTGGTGGTCCGAATTGACCTGTGCTGCCAGAGGTCATTGGAAATTGTGCTGGTGGGGCACTACCACTGGCCATGCGGTCTGCAGAAACCCATCCTGAGTTGTTGATTTCGGCCTCGATTCTCTTCCGTCTCATTTCTTCAACGATATCGGATATTCTTATCCATAATAGACCAATAGGCAATGCTTGATCACCCGCCTTGTCGTAAACCGTAAGTTCGATCTCGTTCGCTTTGTCCACATATATGTTGTGAATTTCATTCTCCCATTTATCCGTCCGGGTATATCTCGTTCTTGCAACAACATTATCTTCCACCTTGACGGCAATCGATGTTTCCGGACCTCTTGTAAATCTACTAGTTGTTGCATGATCAACATCCTTAACTGCTTGAATGCGAAGAACAAGTTGTCCCGTTAAAGGTTTTCGCATATTGGGAGTATTGATACTATCATCTGGAAGGTCTTTGTTAGCTTCTGAAGTCAGCCTGGAGATATCATTTGATCCTACCATCTGGAGCATCTGCTGAGCTCTCCATGTCTATATGTAAATCTTCATAACCCTTCAAAGCCTGTCTGAGGATTTGAATCTTTTGATTACTCTCGACTCGACGAGCAGCAGCATCAGCTTTACTCTTCCGATCGCGCTCCATTTCATATAATTGAACCATCTTCCCAATACCCAACAAATATTGTTTCTCAACATTAAGCTTAAATTCCAATTGTGAAAGCATGAGCTGGATGCGGGGCCCGAGATAAGGGGTATCATATTTGATGAGATCTAAAGGGCTCGATTAGCTATTGTTGAGAAGGATAGAAGATGTACAATTGACCTACCAAGCTTGGTATAATTAGGACGTGATCTAGGCATGCCAGAACCAGGTGCAGGAGGCGCGAATGGATTTCTCGGAGGCATCATATCACCATGTCCACCAATCACACTATATTCCTGAGTGCCATAGCCAGCCTGATCCCCAGTCTCAATAGGATTACCTCTGGCATCTTTGGGCGGCGGGGTTGGCGGCGGATTACCTCTATCATCGCGTAGACCGCTACTGGGCGGGCGACCAGTACCGCCACTACTCCCCGCGCTACCTGTTCGACCTTCCGTCCGTACTTGTAATTCCTTCATGCGCTCCTCCAGGTATGAAATGTTTCGACGACCATCGCGCATTTGAATATCTAGCCTAGCTCTGACTTGCTCATTTTGAGTTTGCTGCCTCATTTGATTTGCGGCATTGAGGAGAGCACGCTCGCGCTGGATCTTTTTGTAGACGGAGCTGAGAGCCTCCTCATCGTTGTTTTGCATGGTGACGGCTTGGTCCTGTGCCGTTTTTTCAATACAACTTTGAGTAGGGGATGAATAATGGTTCCTGGGCGAAGAGACGATGTTTGCCCGTTTTTTGAATAAGGTAAGGTTTGTGATGGTCGAGGTGGAGATGGAGTAGGTGGGGTTTTACTATCCGGGCATGGGCTGGGATTTGTTTGTTGATGCCCGAAATGTTGCTGCTGTTGGAAAAAGGAAATCTTGGCAAGGCGAAGAAGGGGGAAATGAAATATTGCCGATTGAATGTGGAGTTGGATGGAGTATGTAAGTGTAAGACTGAAGAAAGTACAAGAGAGTAAATAAATACAAGCTCAGGAGTCAGCATACCAAAAGGCTTTTTGCTTCTTAGGTGCGATGTAGCTTAAGGTTGTGTATGCATGGAAAGAAAGACTTTTGTCTTTATCCTCCTTAAGCTTGTGTTTGATTTTCTGGGAGATCTTTCGTATTGTGTTTCGAGATATGTAAGGTTTCAATAGCTTTATTGAAGCTTCAGGTATGAATGTGCATCCGTATGAAAGAAGGTCAAAAGCTTGTGGTCGCAGATATTTTCGTTGATATCAGTCATCTTAACCTATGAAACCTAGGAACTCATTTTCTTTCTACCACGCGAGATACGATACCATCAGCCTGCAAGTCCATTCTGTCAGACATTGCTGTAGGTAGATAGTACAGTATCGATATATGGTGAGAGCCTTATCATACTTTGTTTATTCTACTCAGCCACCATATGCTAGTTTATAGCGAATAGAAGGATAAAGAAAAACCCAGTAATCTTACACTCTGCCCTTTCAGATCCCTCTTCTTAAGCTTTCTTTACACGATTTAAGACATTACAGGAACCATGTAAAACATACAACATGCAATAGAAAGAAGCAGCAAGATTCCCCCCATGGCATAGAATAACAAAACCATATAGTCTATCTACTAATAATTAGATACCACCTATCTATCAACTAATTACTATCCAAAAAAACCATCAGCCCTATCAACAAATCAAATATCAAACATCAAACATCCCAACTCTATAAATTCTATACTACTCTAGTAAGGTTATAGGGAAATATAAAATTTAATAATTGATCATTCAATACTCACTCTAATAAATAAATGTCATCATTTCTTAATTAATAATCTATTAATATTTGTCGAATAATTAATAAATATAATAATTTTTTTTAAAATTATACTCTGTGTCCTACTAATTACTCTTTAGACTATAATACCAAACTAAACATTCAAAAATTTACAGACGGATTTACGCTATAGAGATGTTAGGTTATACTCCGTAATCTACAAGGTACCTAGATATCTAAACATAATAATTTAATAAAAATACCTACCTAATATTTCTCAATCTATTGGTCTTGGGCTAGAAATGGCGTTACTCTGTAAGCATAAATTCAGATAGATATTCATTCGTCAGTTCCAAAAATCGTTCATGGCACGTTATTATACTTGAGTAATTCTCATCCATAAATCTAAATTGGTATCGATTCTTCCTCTCTTTTTTTCTATCTCTAGGACTTGTATTGTTGCTTCAACAACTTTGCTATCGTTGTTAATTGAATATTACTCGTTCCCTCATAAATAGATCCGATCATCGAATCTCGCCACATCTTCTCTGCAATTCCTTCACGAACAAATCCCATACCTATTAAACAATTAGTGTTGAGCGAGAATAATAAATATAAGAAATTTCACTTACCACCCATCCATTGAACAGCCAATCCACTAACTCTTTGAGCGACTTGAGAGGCGAATAACTTAGCCATAGCAGCATCCTGAACAAAATCCTCACCTGCCTCCTTCTTGCGTGCAGCGTTGTAGACTAAAGCACGAGCTGCGGCGATTTCTGTATAAGACTGTGCGATTTGATGTTGCATGCCCTGGAAATCTCCTACTAACTGTCCAAATTGCTTTCGGTCATTCCAAACGTATCTATTATTAGTTGTTAGTCACTGAACACCAAATATATGCATATATCATGCTTACTTAGTAGCATTTTCGAATGCACCCAGAGCCAACCCAGTCATTTGAGCCGCAATTCCGATACGGCCCTCATTCAGAAGGGCAATAGCATATTTGTAACCTTGACCCTCTTCTCCCAAAAGATTCTCTTTGGGGATTTCCACATCATCAAAATTTAGAACACACGTGCTGCTAGCCTTGATGCCGAGCTTCTTCTCCTTCTTAGCAATAGAAAATCCCTTCATACCCTTCTCAACTATGAAAGCTGAAATTCCCTTGTAACCTTTGCTTGGATCAATGTTTGCAAATACAATGAAAAACCCTGCTTCCATGGAATTGGTAATCCACATCTTGTTTCCAGAAATTGTATATCCCGAATCTGTTTTGGTAGCTTTTGTGGCAAGGGCGAAAGCATCAGATCCAGATACTGGTTCAGACAAACAGAATGAACCAACAGTATTCGTAGCCAATTTTGGCAACCACTTATTCTTCAACTCCTTACTCGCATATTTGATGACCGCAGTATTGACCAAAGTATTGTGCACATCCACTAAAACACTCACACTAGGATCGACCCTGGCTAATTCCTCAATCCCCACAATCGCCGCGGTGAAGTTCATTCCCGCACCGCCATACTCCTCTGGTATCTCAACTCCCATAAGTCCCTGCTCAAACAACTGTTCCACGACCGCGGGGTCCATGCTCTCAGCCTCATCCATATCCCGTACTTTGGGCGCGATGATATCATTCGCAAATTTCGACACAGATTCAGACATGGCGAGCTCGATTTCAGAAAGGTGCGATATGGGAGTAGGAGGAATCTCAGTTATGTCGATGGGGTCTGAATGAAGGCGAGTGGTTGCGGAGAGGGGACGGGCACTGTGCTGGTGTTAGAATCGATAGGGATCTTGAGAGCTAGCATGATAAAATGCATACTGTTGATATATTCTGCTCTGTCTACTAAGTCTGATTGCAGGTCTTGTAGCAGACGCAGATGTGCCGACTCGCCTCACCACCGGTGCTAAAGCTTTAATGATTGAGGCCATTTTTCTTCCTTCTTTCCTTTGTTATGACAATTGGTCTCTGAAATATGGGAGATTGAATGTATAAAAACCTCAAGAAAACAATAAGAAGTTTACAAGTGAAAAAACAATCACTGAGTGTTTTGCAAAGAGGCGAACACGATTCATGAAACTAAATCTTGGTGTTTGTGGAGGGGAGGAAGCATTTCGGCTTAAGAAATGGGGCCTCGGCTCTGGGTCTTGGACAAGCGATACATTCCCCATCATCTCCATCAATTCAGCACCACCGAAAACAGCATACAACACTTTGGTGATGGGAACATGTTTTGAGTTCATGTCTCGCTCATATTATCATCACATTTTATAGAAATCTGGCACTTGAAGCTATACTTCCGTTCACAGTAATTTTCGATATTTTTACAACCACACAAAAGCTATGACCCCTTGCAGTTCACATGCAAAATCCGGGGTCATCTGCCCCACCATAAATTTCGTGGTTTAGTCGAACCGTCACATCACATTATCCGATCCGACTATTGCGAATATCATCCGATTTGTATCCGCTCCGCTACGGCGTGTTATTCAAAGGACGCGGAAGTTTAAAGATATTCACTTTCATCCAAGTGAAGTTCATGTAGTAACAAGTCTTGCAGGATGTATAGAAATCACAATATCTATTTTCCCTAGCTATGATGAAGTAGCTAAATAATAACTGTTGATTGATGTTTCGCAATATAGAAGTACGATATCAAAGGAATGATTTCCAATCAACAGATTTAAGAAATTTCAAAAACAAATCAGGAAGTCCATGTCCTAACGTCAAGTCTTTCGATTATGGACGCCATGGTATCTCCACAAACGCCAGCCAGCCATGTCCCAACGTCTAGGTATCATTTAAACGCCATAGCACATCCGCTTAATACCAAAAAATCCATGTAGATGTATATCCAAATTCAAAACCAATGTCTTTTCCCAGGTACGTCAGGAGCCGATTATTATGCTGCCATACAATATTTCTACTCTTCCTTCTTCTGCACCGTCGGCAATGAGAACCAGCAAATCATCATGACCACGAAGAGGCCCAAAGCAATAGGATGCAAGACGAAATTGCCCACCGCCTGGGCCAACACTCCGGTAGTGAAAGGAGCAATGGCACCGCCAGAACTACCAAGAGCACTGATGACACTCATTCCACTAACTTGGTATTGGCGAGGAATAATGCGAGTGAAGATGTAAGCGGCACATGGATAGACGGGCCCTAGAAGGAGACCGACGATAGAAACCGCCACAGCGTCTCCAATGATATTCGGAACACTCCAAACAAGCCCTTCAAAAATAGCCGACAAAACCACAACGATAACAACAAACTTCCTCTCGCCAATCTTGTGTCCGATGGGGGATAGGAAGAAACGACCGAGGGTAATACCTCCCCAAAATCCAGCAGTAACATAACCAGCGTCGGTATTGGCGCCTCTAACTTGTTGAAGGAAGTAGACGACCCATCCGGAGATAGAAACTTCTGCACCTTGGTACGAGAAGATGAAAATAGCTCCAATCAAGACAGCTCTCAACTTGGCAGCTTTTAACATTTCTATCAACTCCTTCTTTGCGCTGAATTTCGGTTTGTTTCCTGAGGGCGTTCGATTGAGCAGGGCGACTTCATTTGGATCTTCGTAATCCCAGAACGCCCATCCGGCAAAGGCGAGATTCGCGAGAGTCATTCCTAGCGGAATGAAATAGTAATGACTCCATAAAACGCCAGCTGAGACGAGCGCGGTAGCTGACAATGGAGCAATAATACCTCCGATTCCGTAAGCACCATGCATGAATCCTAACATTCTAGTACCATTATCGAGGTTCGCAGCAAAAACATTTGATAAAGACAAATTGATTGCCATGCCGAATCCGATGAATAAGAATGCCACGACGACCACAGGGAACGGAGGATTGGTAACGATCATCACATAACCGATACTCATGATAGCTTCGGCAAGCATGATGGATTTGGCTCTTCCCATTCGAGCTCTAATAGCATCGATGCAAAAGGCCGCTGAAATATAACCTATTGCTTGGGTTATGAATATGAGAGATACTAGTCGTTCTTGAATAGCATAGGCCCTAAGATGTAATCAGCAAATGTCCTTTTTTCTTAGGGAAGATCTAACATACACGATCATTTTCGGAATGAGTGGACCAGCTGCAGCATCACTCAAACCGTTGCCAAAATTCAACAAACAGGTCGATGTCATTCTGAACCTATTTTTGGGAGGATTGGAGAAGCTTTGAATGATATGTTCTGGCTCGTTGTCTGGGGTTTGTGGTCGACTGATTTCCAGGGCACTTGGCGTTACCGAAGATTGCCAGCCAGGAGTTGACCATCCGGACACAGATTCTACTCCAGGTGTTGTAGTCCCCGAAGCAGGCGGTCTATTGATATTTGGTGCCCATTTTATGGAATCGAGCTCAATGGCATTGGGTTGTTGGACGGAATGGTACGTTCGGGTAACTGATCTCTGAGGGGCAGCAAGAGGGGTGGCAATAGGCTCATCTTTCGACGACACAACATCGATGATTGAAGAGAAGTGGGCAGCCATTGCGACTGTTGATAGATCTCTAAGTTGCACAATATGGCAACCGATTTGTAGACACAATATGTGATATATGGTTGTATAATGATGATTGAGATGATTGTAGAGATGACAGGGAAAAGAAAGTTAGAAAAAAAGGAAGGAAAAGGAAAAAGAGGTCATCAATATAAATAATTTCTATCCAAACTGAGCATATTGCCAAGTGTTTAGCTGTTGGGGACAGTGGAAACCTAAGAGCTTAGAGCTAAGGGTGCTAACAGAATGCTAGTAGCTAGCTACGTGTGATCCCCAGCCAAAAATGGAGAAGCTCAACAAGATACACATCCGGATCTTCTCGAACCTGACAAAAAATTGGATCGATGATAAAGAAAAAGGTGGTTATTGGATGTCGGCAAATCGTGAAATGCATCAGAACACATGGGAACATTTCGGATAAGCAGGATACAAAAAATACGTAAGCACTTTGAAAACTTTGAAACTGTTAAGGCACCAAGAATTGGTTAATTGAAAATTTTGAAATTGCCCAATGCGATATCTTTTGAGTAATAAAATTTTATTTCTTGTTCTGGAGCTGGTGAGAAATTTTTATTAAGTTGCGGGGAGAAACTTGAAAGTCGGGGTTCTTCGGCTAAGTTTCCGTGCAAAGCTAAGGTTACCTGACTAGTACAGAAAACTCTGAAAAAGTTTATCTTTAATTTCAAATTGCTTTCACTACTACCTATACAGGTACCTAGTATGATAAGTAGCTTCGGAAAAATAAATTCCATTTCTACCCCGCCAAAAAGAAAATTCCAGAGCTTATTAAATTTTTACCATCCTTGATTATTTCACATCACACATCAATTTAGTCAGGCCTAGAGTAATCTTTTCGCACCTCAATTCTCCAGATCGAATCGTTTCTCCACATTTAATACTTCATAATGGGCAAACCAAAGCGCAATGTCTTTGCTGCGGCTGAAGAAACATCTACCCCGCCAGACACACTGACAGAAACACAATCCATTGCTCGTGTTATCAAAGCTGAAGGAAACAGCTTATACTCTTGCTCTCTCCCAGACAAGTCGACTATCCTGGTTGAATTACCTTCACGATTCCGCAACACAATTTGGATCAAACGTGGTGGTTATGTCTTGGTCGATACCAAAGACGCGAATGTGAGGGAGAATAAGATCGGTGGTGAAATCATAAATGTCGTCCGGGACGAACACATCTGGCGGAAAGAAACTTATTGGTAGGTTTTCGTCTTACATGCGGATCAGTTTGACTCTTTAACATGTTTCAACAGGCCCAAGGAATTTCCCAAGAGCTCTGCATATATCGAGGATTCGGATGACGAGGAATCGACTGTTGGTAAAATGCCACCATCAGATTCGGACGAGGAATGATGTAGCCTAGAGAGTGAGGAAATCTTCGCTCACACCAAATCAAGACCCCTTCTTGTCGACGCCTCCTTGGCCTTTGGGAGCGACAAAATCATGCCTGGTTCCCCACCACACAGCCGCCACAGTAATAAACATAATACCGACTACCGTCAAAGAACTCATGGCAGTGCTAGGGTACACATTCCAGGCCCATTCCTGTGCTCCCCAAAGTGCATATTGAAGAATTGGATGCATGCCACTTCGCCAGAGAAGGAATGGTGTGGCCCATGCAAGATAGGCATAAAATTGGTAGTGCAAAGATCGTGCGAAGAGCATACCAATCGTGGTGGCAGTCAGAATGGTTGTCATGATATAATTTGGTGATATCGAAATCGAGCAAGCGTGTTGCCTTTGTCCCAGTGGTTCCTCCAATTTTAGCGCACTTCGAATCAAATCCATAAGTGGCTTTTCGGTTGGTTTGAGCCATCTTGTCGTTGCGAACAGGACCAAAGTACTGACATGCCCTATCAATAAAGTTGTGGAAAATTCTTTGCTTAGGAACTTTTCCTCCCCCAAGAATCTCCAATTGACCGTCCATTTGAATAAGAACACCCTTGAGAACTCAAAAGCTTTACTCAGATAACCGACTGCGTTTGTTGGGAAAAATGGCAATGCAATCACAACCTGCAATTGTGCCATAAGCCATGCCTGCTTGAGAGCTCCTTGTACTCCTTTCGCCAAAAATAGCATTATTCCAATGGATGGTAATGCCAATAGTAATGACATCTTAATCCCCAAGCCCCAACTATATGCTATGCTCCCAATTGTCCATACCCTGCGCTGAAAGAAGTAGATTGCAACCCATAAGAAAAAGACCGCGAACCCGTCGTTGAATAGTCGAAGAACAAATATGCTATGTAGTCGTTTTGAAAGAACAAGCATAGGAAATATGTAATGTGGTGCCTAGATATATAACACCCATATTAGCCCACTCTCCGACCCTGTTGGGGTTTCAATTATAAGTTTTAACCAACCTTAGCCCTCCTATAGCAAGCCAAAACCACACCCAAAGTTCCCAGATACAAGACCCCAAATATCCGCTGCGCAACAAGTATATCACGTCCATGATCAGTGATCCACCACAAGGCATAGTATATCCATACATGCGCTGCTGGATATACCAATGGACCGGTGCCACCTTTGATTTGCGTGTAGTCGCGTTCACCGGATGCATACTGGCCGATTTGTTCCATGTATGCTTTCCAGTCTATTTCTGTGTCTGAACAACGATTAGCGGATGTGGGATAGGCTAGAAGGAAGGGAGGGAGGGGAAGATGGGTCGACACATACATGGTATAAAATAAATTATGGCACTGCAGAGAAAACCTTCCAGGAGGAGAATGAGCGCGGGAACATAACGAGAGAGCCAATGTTCGCCTATGGCTAATTGTTTGAGCTGGAGGTACAGATTTGTGCTTAGGGGAATGGTGGCCTTGTCTTCTTTATTACGGACTGGAGAAATGGGGGCCATGGTTGCGGATGTAGAGATTGTTGGTTATGAAGAAGTGATTCAGGTGTTGGCAGATCATTTGAAAAAGAAAATAAAAAGGGTAAATACAAGAAAGGAAAATTGTACAAATTGGAAGTACTAGAATTTGGAGTTGAGGTCGAGGATTCGAGTATAGTTGTACTGTATGTTACTTGGTGCACGGTGTTTCGCAGCTCTAGAATATTTAAACTTTCTTTCGGCTATATTGGTGGATGCCGTGGCAGTTATTAATTACAGGGGTTTTTGTCAGAGCAATACGCACTAAGAATGAACGACCAATCTCTTACTCACTTGTCAAATATCTTGTAAGACTTGTGCCGCAGACATTCCCAACTCAACTTCAAGGTATAATTACCCATACATTCAACTCATCACAGACAAATACTCTCATATTGAAACCGAGAGCGATGTGATTGTCTCTGAATATCAGGAACAATCTATAGAAGGTTTCAAAGTCCAGATTTGTTCATCCAATATAAAACATACGGAAATGGCAGGCTTCAATCGGAAGTTTTCCGATTACTTTTCCCTCTCTATCCTCATCTTGATCTTGTTCCTTGAAACTTCTGTTTTCTTCTGCTTCAATACCATTCTTTTATATCCCAACTATTCAACGTTCGTATGAGCGATCAATTATAACAGTGATGGTGTAGTACTGTGGAAGCGCAAGACCATCGAGAAGCCTTTTGACCTAGGCATAAATTTCTAGGTGGATACAAGAGCTTCGTTTCACACCCCCCTATCCTCAGCTGTATGCTCTTAGCAAGATGTAGCAATTAAGTCTTCGGGTCTTAGTTGGCTGTCAAGCATTATCAGATCAAGTGATAAATATACTCTTTTCAAGTTTGGCGTCTTGGTGTGTATTGGTGTTATATAAGAAAAAGAACAGAGCGACTACTAGCCTATAATGTGAAGCTAGGCTTTGATTTTTACTTTGGGCATGAGGAAAGAGGTTGGGGCAAGGCGTAACCTCAGGGGGATCACATTGTTTTAATGATAATTCTGAACCCTAGTTCAACTCAGTAGGGATAGTCATTACTCAGCCTGATACTAGAAAATCCATCTTTCTTCGTTGTGTCTACTTTTCAGTTTATTTCAGTCGAGATCTTGAAAACTTGTCACACTAGTAAAGCTCATCTCCACTCATACTATCTTAGCCTTCATTTTTCAATGTAGCCACTTCCGTATGGCCTAAATCGTGAAGAGTCTTCATATCAAAGTTCTATCATAAATTCATGTTTCGTCGTCTCGCCGCTTTCCATTCAAGCTTCTCAATTTCCAAGCCATAGTGTTATGATCAAAATTTCTACATTAATCCATATGCAATCCAAGATCTTCGATCACTAAACTGTAATCGCATACGAAAATCTTACTGCCTTTTCCGTTCCCACGCTTGACTCTATCAAATTTACGAATTTAAGATAATTTGAAACTTTCTCGTCTCATTAAGGTGTCTATCGCTTCTCTATGATTCGAATTCAACTCATACCTTAAACTCTTATCATCCCATAAGACTGCAACGTCACTCCAGAAAATCTTAGCCAACTGCATTGCATGCATTGAGAACAGGTCTAGTGAAACTGATCAATCGTTATACATTCAATTTTGCTCCACCCCCCTTCCTTATGTGGACTTAGCACATTGCTGAAATTTGACTAGGTAAGTGAGCTTAGTGCACTTCCTCCTCATCTCAACACTCATGCTTCTTATTCCTTTACAACAATTAATTTCTTATTTACTTCTGTGATACAAGCCAACTTCTAGATTCAACTTACTGCTATGATAACAAATCTATTTCAATACCACTATCCTCTCTACAAAAGCAGTTTTTTACTTCCATATCTTACCACTTGCGACAGTCCATCTTTCAAAAGTGGAAGTGCTGATTCTATGAGGCACAACTTGAGTCTATTGAAACCATATGACAATATCATTTTAGATATAACGTCACATAGTGAGTATCTTCTACTGTCAAACCTCCTCTTTTCCTTACCTTCACATTCGGATCGTGAAAGCTTGAGCTTTCACACAGTCCTTTTGAGCATTTTCTCGAACATTGCGGCTTCCTCATGAATATCTGTGTGCACCTTGATTTGGCTTCTCCCACAAGATCTCACTTTTACCATAGCACAAGATTTTATTTCGCCATTCCCGTCGAAATTCGCATACTAATTTTCTCCTTAGCAGCACACATAATTTTCCAATCGAGGCAGAGCCCATCATCTCCAGACATATCTGCTTGACTTAAAATATACGAAATCCACCATCTTTATTCCTCTCTTTGAGATTAGTCTGGGCTTGTGATTCTTTGACAGATCAATTGCTTCTCGTGCCCAGCTCCCGACTTTTAGTTTCCAGCTTCTCAGCATCAAATTTTGCTGCTAATATTGTCGTCAGCTTCTGGTGCTAGCAAATTCCACGCTTTAGTTTTCATCTTTGGGTTCGCATTTACAGATTCACTCGTCTCAGACTAAATTCACATCCACTTCTATCTTTTTATTTATTTTTTATAATCGTCAAGACCCTAATTTCTTCCCCGCCAAGTCTGTCTACCTCTTGCTATCTAGTACATCAAGTAAGGCATTCACTTCGAAAACACTAAGTTGATAATATGTCGTCAAGCGGCGAAGAAGCTTATGGAGGCTATGGAGCCGTGGGTAACATTGACGAATTTCTCGACGTTATCGATAGTCAAGGTACCTTTACACCACATCGAGTTCAGCAGCCAGCCAACTTTTCCAGTCCTGCTCAAAATCAGCACCAAATGCATGGCCAGCTTTCTACAGTTCATACAAGTACTTCAAACGTTCGTTGGGAGCCTCCGCAGATGCCTGCAGCCATTATGCCATCAAGCCCAGTAGTCCCTGAAGAACCTTCAAGTCCAGAGGTTAGCAACAGCCCAAACGGAGGAAATTTCACTCCAGCTCATCAAGGGCGAAAAGGTTCTTCCGTACTTCTACAAAGTCCTTCCATTTCGAATGGCAGTCAGCAAAATACATTAAGCCCAAGAGTTGAATCAGATATCAATGATGGTTCACCCACAGATAGCCAGCATTCAGATGAAACAAGCGCTGTCGTAATTCCAAGTGTTGAGTCACCAGATGTCGAGATTAAGGAAGAATCCCAAGGCACACTTGATCACGATAGAAGCCAAGTGATTTCAGACGATATGTACGACGCAAGCACTCAGGGATCAAACCTTGCTCCGTCACAACATTCCGATAGGCAGCGTCCGTCTGTATTCGGGACTCCAAATAATTCCAATACTCACTTTGCTAGGACTTCCAGCCACTTTCAGACACCAAAACCATCATGTCAAACGAAGCAGCCAGACCCAGCCTCAGTCAGATCCGACTCTGACGATGACTGCTTTATTACGGATGTCAGAGAGGCACGTCCTGGAGGAAGCAGAGTGCCTGTTATGAAAGATAGGAGCCCCGTCGTTAAGGATGAGCCAGTACTAGATCCACCAGCCAGATTTAGCACCCTGGAAGTTGACAACGGTAACTTCGAGAGAGGCATGAGCACTTTCGAGTTTGATCGGGAACCAAGTCCAACTGAAGAAGAAATGCTCGCGGCTCAAGCAACAATCATTCCTCCAGCTGCTCAAAGTCCTGCCGAAGACATACGCACTCCTAGATCAACAAACGAGAGTAGAAAGAGACACCGCAACAGCATAGCATACTCTGAAGAGCAAGTGGAGATTGATAATGCTATGCAAGTCAATGAAGATGACGATAATTGGATGCACGCACAAGGAAATGATGGCGATGAGTTTCAAGAGGAGTATGAGAATCTCGTGATTTTACGAGATGCCTTGAACAATGATATGAGGAGAAAAGGAAATCTCAGTCTCGATGAGAACGCTGACCTCATCAGAATCAATAACACTCTTGCAAGGTTGGGTCGCCTAAATGCTGCCAAAGCTAGAGCGGCCGAAGATGAGGATGATGAAGAAGATACACTCTTCATCCCGGAAACACATCGACGAGTGCCAAATTTTGTTGATAATGGCGAAGGTCCGTCTTCAAGACGTAACGACGAAAATGAGAATGTGGATGATGATGTAGGCCTTGCTAGGATGCTACAGGAGGAATTTGACCGCAGTTTTGACGATGCCCCTGCCAATAAACGCAAGCCGAAGAAAACACGTCGAGCACCACCCAAAAACGCTCGAGAATTTGCCGCAAGAGGAGAGGAGAGAAGAATCGAAAAAGAAAGAGCCAAGGCGCAGAAGAAAAAGGCTGCGGGAGGCGGGAAAGGCAGGAAGGCCGAGAAAGCTAAGGCCGTACGAAAAGGCAAAGGTAGAGGCAAGGAGAAAGGAAAAAATTCCCAAAAGGGATCTGTGAATGTTGATAAAGGCATGAGAGACGCTCGATTCATGGGCCGTCGCGGAGGTCAAGACGACATTGGACAGTTGATCCTCGATGATCTTATGAATTGTGATGCGATCGGAGATCGTCTCCAAGACCCTGTCTTCAATATTGCGCCAGAGCCAGAAATCGACGGTAGAACTCGGACCAAAGCCTCTCAGCTTCAACAATTGTTCGCCAACATTCCTGAAGGTAGTAGCAAAAGTAAAGGAAAATCTGACAAGGCAAAACTTTTGCAAGCTTCTCGCAGTTTCGGTTATGCACAAGTTAAGGCTGTTAGTGGCAAGTGGCTCGTGAAGGGAATGAGATCGACCTTGTACCATCATCAACTACTTGGCGCGCAGTGGATGGTATCGAGAGAATTGAGTTCTGAGCCGCCTCATGGTGGTTTACTTGCCGATTCGATGGGTCTTGGTAAGACCGTACAAACTCTTGCTTGCATGGTTGGCAATCCACCCACCAAGGAAGATCGAGAACGTGGGGTAACAGCAACATTGATCGTTGTACCATCTTCGGTCATTAGTCAATGGCTAGAAGAGATTGAAACCCATGTCGAATGCAAGAAAGTATGTCCAAAGTTTATGCAGTACAAGGCATCGATGCATATACCTGACGCCGTCTTGAAGGATCTGGATATTGTCGTTACTTCCTACACCGAGGTCATGAAGCAGTTCCCGTTCCCTGACCGCAAGGGTCGAGAGGATATTGCTAGATATGGGTATAAGAAATGGTGGAAAAACGCCCATGAAGAGCTTGGTGCTCTCCACAAAATCAACTGGCGAAGAGTCGTTCTTGACGAAGCCCACGCAATTAAGAACAACTCTGCCAGAACAAGCTTGGCTTGCCAAAATTTGAAGAGTGTTTATCGCTGGTGTTTGACCGGTACTCCACTTTTAAATAGGCTTGAAGAGTAAGTAAAATTCCCCTGCAAATCTGACATTTGGATGTCCAAATCACATTTGGACAATGGAAAGTCGTATTTGGCTAATGGTCGCTAGAGCCCGTCCCATTGTTCAACTCAATTTGGAACAATCAAAAGCTGACAATTAACCTAGGCTCTTCCCATACCTCCGCTTTCTCAAAGCCAATTATTCGATGGATTGGAAGACTTTTCAACAATATTTCTGTGACCCTGATGCCGACGATTGTACTAATCGTATTGCAACCCTTCTCAGTTACGCTATGATGCGTCGTACTATGAAGACCACCATCCTTAATCGACCAATCATAACGCTCCCTAAGCCCCACCCTGTTATGCAACAGCTCAATTTCTCCCGAGAAGAGAGAATCATTTATCGAATTGTAAGTGTTCCATTTTGATTCGGACATTCAAAAGCTGACTTTACTACAATAGACGGAAAGCCGCTTCCGTGCCAACCTTAATTTATTTCTGGCCAACGGCACTGCCCAGCGCGCCTATGGAGTCTTGTTCGTTCAACTTCTTCGTCTTAGACAATGCACTTCTCATCCATTTATGCTTGAACGTACAATGAGAGAATCCTGGACCACCGAAGACGTCGAGCAACTTCGGAGGGAGCTTGGCAAATTTGCTGATAGCAATATAACATTTTACGAGCAATGCAAAATATGGGTTACTCAAAGTGAGGAAGAGAGAGCGGAAGCTATAGCTAAAGGTGAAAAAGGAGCTGAGGCTATTCCTTTTGGTATTTCCAAATTTGGTGAAAGTTTCAAATTCGATAGTGCTTTGGATTCGCTCAACGAGGAGGAGCTTTACACTAGAATCACTTGTCATCTTTGCTCAGATGTTCCGAATGAGCCTATAATTACCACCGTAGGTATTGAAACTTATGAGAGCTCGAATGAGAATGAAAGCTGATATCTTTCTAGTGCTCACATATTTTTTGTCAGAGCTGTTTAACAAACCATCTACATTCTCAAATTCAAGAATCTGACGGTGATGACACGGTAAGCATCGTCCAAATTGATATTCTGGAGTATTCTAACTTCGAGTATCAGTTCAATGTTTGTCCCAAATGTGATAGCATCTTCACCTCCGTCGAGCCATATACCGATCTCGAGATTCCTGATGACGAAAACATGGACTCTAGCCCAAGCCAGACTGCAGAATCCGAAGGCTCATTCCGGAGCAACAAACGTCAAAAGTCTTCTGACGATTTCTCTCGTCGTTCACGCAGGTCTGTGAGCAAAGGTGTGGATGCGCTTGGTTTTGAACCGTCCACCAAGGACAACACCTGGGTCACGAGATCAGATCATGATCCAGCATTCCCACTTCTTCCAAGTGCGAAGACCACGGCTTTGAAGGCGTTATTGTTGAAAGGATTTGAAGAAGCACCTGATGATAAGGTATGTTAACTTCCTTTTTCCCTCTTTTTCGTCTCTGATTGTTCAAATGGAAACTAAACAATCAATTCATCTACCAGGTGGTTATTTACGTCCAATTTCGCACTCTGGCGCGGATCATCGGCCGTATGTGCGCAGCCGAAGGTTGGGGCTTTTTGTACCTGACAGGCGACGCATCACTTGAGCACCGAACCAAAGCCGTCAAAGAATTTCGCATTCAAGATAACATACAAATTCTGATTGCCGGTCTGAAATGCGGTGGTCTCGGTCTCAATTTTCCATTCGCCAATCGATGTATTTCACTTGATTTGTGGTGGAACTACGGCGTGGAGCAACAAGCTTTTGGTCGGATCTTCCGCATTGGTCAAAACAAAGAGACGTGGATGACTCGACTCGTCGTTCGCAATTCCGTCGATATGCGATTGCTGGGTATGCAGGACTGGAAGCTCAGAGCATGTGAAAAAGCAATTGATAATAATGGACAAAGTGGTGCGAGTGGTAGTGGTGGAGGAACGTTGAATTTAAGCCAGTTGGCTAGATTGTTTGGTTTTTTGAGGACAGATGAGGATGATAATCTTTTACGTATCGAACCGGATTATGAGGATGATCATGAGGATGAGGGAGTTATTGGCTCGGGAGCTTCGCAGCAGGCATCGTCGGGTAGTTGGATGGATTGAGTTGCTTGGTTTATATTGCCTATTGAGCCTTTGTGGGTGATGAGGCAAAGCTTGAATTAATATCCTATCTATCATTTTTTTTTAAAAGGTTTAGGGAGTTGAAAGTCGGGAAGAGCAGACAGTTTCTCTGAGGTTGGTGTTACAACGGATCTCACATACCTAACATCACGTGATTAGCATCATGTGATATGAGGATCCCAGTAGGCTCAGCTGTCCCAGTACAACTGGGACAACTGGGAGCACTGGGACGCATGCCACGATGGTCTATATAATCAAGATGGATTTCCTTTGTATAGAGCTTCGTGCTCAAGATCAATCATTTAGTATACTCTACTATTAGTTACGAATTGCATATCATTATTGTCATTACTTAGGTCCCTGCTTGACGCCTAGTTATAAACCACCTCGAGAGCCTGGAGCACTTCCACGTGATCTAGACGGCAAACCTCGTAACAGTTGGTTTGATTTTAAATTTTGATTGGGAGCCTGGAATGCATCTGGGTTGGAATCTTTCGTGGGGAGTTAATTAAAGTTATTATTTAGTTGGTTGCGAGCGGGCGTTACGTTTATGTGATTTGTTGACACAATATTCAATTATTTTTTTTATTTGTGGAAAGGTGAGGGAATTACTTTAAATTCTAATTTTTTAATTTTTTTTTTCTTCGGATATCTGGAATTTCAGAACGGGATATTCGAGGGCAGGGGGGGTTTGGATTTTACATGTTACGAGGTTTGCCGTCTAGATCACGTGGAAGTGCTCTAGGCTCTCGAAGTAGGTTTATAACTAGGCGTCAAGCAGGGACTTGAAGTAATGACAATAATGATATGCAATTCGTAACTAATAGTAGAGTATACTAAATGATTGATCTTGAGCACGAAGCTCTATACAAAAGAAATCCATCTTGATTATATAGTCCTTCGTGCCTATGGTTAACTAGGAATCGTCGTTCCTGGGAACGAGCGTTCCTGGTTGTTCCTAGGAACGTTCGTTCCTCACCGTTCCATCACATGTTTTATGGTCATGTGACATACTAATCGTTTTGGACGTAACATTACATTTTTAATATTTGATAATCATTAATTAATTTTTCAAATTTTAACTTTTTATTATTTGTTTAATAAATAATAATTAATCAATATTGAGTTTATTTATATATTATTAATAAAGGAATATATAAGAATTTTTAAAAGATAATTAAAGACTTATTTTAATATTTTTATATTTTTTGTTTAAATATTTCAAAGAGATATATTTATATTCATTTTCTTTTAAATATTTAAATAGTTTTTCTGTTACGTGACGGTTGTTATCCCACTAGTGGCTCACGTGCACTAGCCCTGTATATAAAGACCTTCTTACTTAGAATCTTTTTAGTTCTTTAGTTTTAGATTCTAAGTAATTGAATTGACTCCGTTTACGACTTTTCCGTCACATTTTCTTTAGATTAATATCAAATATTGTTAAAAGGAATGACCTCACACAGGGAATAGTGGGAAGCTGATAGGGCAGAACTGAGGTAATATTGGTCTAGTAGGTTAATCTCTCTTCTAAGTTCTACGGAAGTGCGAAGCTCTCTTACAGAGAGCTTCTCAATCTAGTCCTAATAGGACTAGTGCCCTGTGCACGTGCTACGCAGGAACCATTCACTTTAACAGATAGGACTATAAATCAGTTGATAGAGATGCAACAGCTGTGAGATATTCTCTAATTACCGATGAAACTTATTCTTATAATGAGCCTTAGAAATATTTTAGACATATAAATTTATACAAAAAAGATATATGAATCTTTCTTTATAATTTTTTTATCGGAAGTTTGAAAGTTAGTCAATACAACTAAAATACCGAAGATTGTTATATGTCCATACAAAATCATAGAGACTTATCAAAAATAATTGTTGTGAACAGGTTTCTGGCATAAAAGTATCCGTCCGATACAAGGTTTACTGTATAGATTGTAGCACTGAACAATAAACATTAAATAAATCTTGTCTATATCTTTCAATTTTCTCTTCATTACACATAATACAATTTTGTCTATTAATTATAATTATATTCATACATCCAACCTTTTATATCCATCACCAGGCACTATTCCGAAGAACCGGCAAAGCACTATTCAATTCTTAGTCCAGACTAATCCGGACGAGCCGATGGGCCTAAGACCTTAAATTATCGATAGCGGAATGATGCCAAAAAGAATCGGAAAAAAAAAAATCGCATGGACTTTGCTCGGTCTGATGCGATGTGCGAGTGATAGAGCTAAATTTTGGCAGTGGCAAGTTGTAGGTAAAGAAATATGTTATCGAGCTAGGTACTTGCAATGGAAAGAAATTAACCTTGAACCTAGTGTATGCAGGTACATACTAATGAAGCCTCTGTGGCTTGTTAATTTTTTGATTGTGGCTCGTCTGATATACGTTCGTACCTACAGTAGTAGTGCGAGTAGTACGAAGGCATGGGTCGTGCGAAGGGTCTAAGATGTTCGGGATTTTAATTATTTTGGTCATGTTTGTACTCTGTATTTTGTATCCTGTATACTGTACTCACTAGATAGGTATTTAGTTTAGCAAACTAAACTTCCCGAGTGCCAGGATGCCGGTGTCTTGTAGGTCAGCATACGAGCTGAATGATAACGAAAAAAGGAAAATAACACAAATACTCCATATCCAGAATATATGCAGTGCAATCAATACGTTAGGACTAAAAATTTCTTATCATATCGCTCAAATCACTCTACAAGCTATTCCTAATACAATAAATCAATGGTGCTCTCCCGTCCTAACAAGCATGCAAGATCTGAAAATAGGACTAATAAGCGATTAGAACCATCTTGGCGCGATCCACTAACCGAGTCTAGGAAGTCTGTGCATCATGTACCATTTTTCTCGTCCGCCTTTTCATCCAACCATTCAAATTCTACTTGAAGATTTCGAATCAATCGACTCGAATCAATGGATCGAGTACTCCGTAAGTAGCAGAACCATGTAAAAGAGGAAAGAAAAGTAGCCTCCGGTGTGAGAAGAAATCTACCTAGCAAGTAGCGTATTTCTCAGCTGGAGATACTTGATATTTGATTGATGTCCTGTTGGTATTTCTTCTTTCTATCTCTTGTTCTCTTGTGTTCATATTCGTGTGTTTCTTAAGACGAATATAATTGTTATCAGTGTTTTTCATTACATTCATTTGACGATCTGATATCTGTCTGTGCCTTGTTTTGAACCTGGCAAGAAGGTGCATCGCATCAAGAAGATATCTTGTTTTCTGTGGTTTTCTTGATCATTATCATTCGAGAATACAAATTGTATCTTTCTCGCTTTAATTGTTTAATTTTTACTTTTAATACTTCATTTCCACCAACGACGACAAGATAGCTACTCGCCCGCCCTATCATTCGGTAACCATACAACCACCACAATGCATCTCAGCAGCACCCTCTTCATAGTAGCCACAAGCTACCTAACAAGCGTCTACGCCGATTCCACAGACGAAACAGTCGGTTCCTCCTCCAAACGCGGTCTCGTCTTCGTCCCCAACTCCAAATACCCATCCGATAATCAAGTCTGGGTACAACCAGGTTCAGATCTAACATGGTACTATAACTATGGCATTGCCGCATCTCCAGCCTACTCCAACCGCACCCAAGAAGAATTCGAATTCGTACCTATGCTCTGGAGTACCTCGACCACCTTCCTCTCAGACATCAAATCGCTAATTTCCGGTGGTCGCAACGTAACTCACGTATTAACCTACAACGAACCCGATGGAACATCCTCAACAGGCGGATCTCAAATATCCGCATCAGTCGCCGCGGCGAATTGGATAAGTCAAGTAGAACCACTGCGCGCATTGGGTATTAAGACAGGAGCGCCAGCGGTAACGGGTTCATCGAGGGGAATGAGTTGGTTGAGTGCTTTTTTTGATGCCTGTACGACATTGGGGACGAATTGTACTGCGGATTTTATTCCAGTGCATTGGTACGGGGATTTCGAGGGGTTAGCTAGTCATATTGGACAAGTTCGCGGGACGTAAGTTTTTCCTTTTTCTATATTCCCTCTGCTCTTTCTCACCCAATCCCCCACCCAACTAACACCTGTCCCAGCTACCCCAACACCACAATCTGGCTCACCGAATACGCACTCAACGACTCTCCCCTCGAAACAACCCAATCTTTCTTCAATACCTCGGCCGAATATTTCGACCGTCTCAATTACATCGATCGCTATTCGTATTTTGGTTCGTTTAGGAGTAGCGTGAGTAATGTGGGGTATAATGCGACGATGTTGGATCAGCGCGGTAGATTGACTGATATTGGGAGTTGGTATCTTGGTGGGAAGAGCACGGGGAATGTACCGGAGAAGAGTGGCGTGGGGAGATTGTGTGGGATTGGGAGGGGATTGGGATGGGCGCTGGGTACGTGATCGTGGGGATGTTTCGTTGTGAGGGGATATTGGGATGTACTGGGATTTCGAGCGGATGGGTGGAATGTTTATTCGAGATTGGATATGAAATAATATGATATGATAGGGAGGATTTGTATAAAGACGTTTTCTGTCCCGGTTGTATATTTTGCTCATGTCATTATATCATAACATAGCATATCATATTACACATGATAAAATAAGTAACATCACATCTGTAGAGGAATAACCTCACACATCTATAATAATAAAGGAATCCTACAAATAAAAATTCTACATAATAGACCATTATTATCCTACTTTTATAAAAAAAAGTCATCTTGAGACAAATCTAATTTTAGTATAATTTAATATATGATTGTTTTTTTACATAATATCAATATTAATATTTGTTAAAGTGAATGGTTCCTGCGTAGCACGTGCACATGGCACTAGTCCTATTAGGACTAGATTGAGAAGCTCTCTGTAAGAGAGCTTCGCACTTCCGTAGAACTTAGAAGAGAGATTAACCTACTAGACCAATATTACCTCAGTTCTGCCCTATCAGTTTCCCACTATTCCCTGTGTGAGGTCATTCCTTTTAACACTATCTAATAAAAATAAAAAACACAGGATGGATATATATGGCCAAAACGAACTTAAAAAGAGGATATCAAGGTAGATATTAATCTCATATTGATTCCCTCAAGTCATCACAGCAAATCTTATTTAGAAAAACCATTCAATTCAAGAAACAATCTCATTCCCAAGCAACCTCCCAATTTCCTCCGCAATCTCCAAAATTCTCTCTTCAGTTAATCGTCTCCCGATAACCTGAACTGCAACCGGTGCCCCATGATACGCCTCGGGATCATCTAGTTAAATATCAATAACCACTCCAACAGAAACAATAACAAAATAAAAATAAAACTTACATTCCCCCTGCACAACCCCATCAATCTCACTCAACGCCTCAAACCCTTCCATCCTCCCATCCACCACCCTATCCGCAAACAAAACCGGCACAACCACACTCGTAAAATCTAACAGATTAATCACAGTCGTATATGCATAATGCATATAACGATCATGACGCACCGCCGCCGTAGGGGCTACAGGAGCCACAATAGCATCGATTTCCCTTCCGAGCTTTTCTTCCATCGCTCGAAATTGCTCGAGGTATTCGCATTGGTATGTCCATTTTTGGAGATGTACGTCCCAGAGTTGGTTGAGGGAAAGAGGGGTGCTGTTTGGGTTGACAAAATCTGATATGTTCGGGATGGCGGGCTCGCCTGATGCGGAAAGAACGCCGTGGATGTCCTTGGATGTGTTTAGTGTGTGGGAAATTATGGTAAGAGTGGATGTGTTATGGTGAGCTGGTACTTACTTTTCCGGCATCTGCGCCATATATTGCGTTTATGAGATTTTGGGCATGGTCATGCTTGTATGGTGTCCATTTAAATACTTCATGGCCGTTCTTCTTTAGAGCATCGATGACTGTCTTAATGCCACGGAGGACAGGAGGATGAGGTAGAACCTAAAATAGTTAGCACCAAATTGTTTATAGGTGTTCTATCTAGTATGCGATATTAGATACTCTCGTCTAGCTCCTCGTGTTCGAAATTCCTGGATTATCTCGATTCAGATTCGGATATCCAAGATTACTCTCATCTCGGATAGTAAAAGGATTCCCATAGCAAGGGAGCGGAATCACAAAAGACTCAATACTTACAACAGCATCACAATCATAGTATCCTATCGTCAAGCCACCATCTAAAATTCTAGACTTTATAACATCGGCTTCCGACTGTCGCCATGGCATAGGAACAACTTTAGCATCAAATTTCCACGGTTCTTCCGCCAGGACCGCTTGCACAAATAATCGGATATCTAAAAATATCATGAGCTTCAATACAGAATATCAACGAGGATATAACAAACCAGCTATCGAATGTGCAATAGGACCACAAACACTATGCACAGTTTCCTGACCCTCCATACTATTTGCCATCTTTCCATAGGGAAGACGCCCATGACTTGGACGTAGACCATACAGGAAATTGAACGCGGCAGGTATACGAATCGAACCACCGATATCAGTTCCCACCCCAATAATTCCGCCTCGGAATGCAACATTTGCGCCTTCGCCTCCTGAAGAACCACCGCAAGACCAGTTCTTGTTATGAGGGTTCACTGTCCTCCCGATAACATTATTGATAGTTTCACCACACATTAAACTTTGGGGCACGTTGGTTTTAACATAAAATACGGCGCCGGCTTGGAGTAATAGTCTCACAAGTATCGAATTATGATCTTCGTATTTTCCAATCCATGAAACATATCCCATACATGTTTCAAGGCCCTGAAAAATATTCTAATAAGCATTGAAGGCATACTATGGTTCTAACCCACCCACCTCGATCCTAAATTGATCCTTCAAGGAGATCGGTAGACCATGAAGTGGACCAACCGTTTTTCCAGTTTTCTTAAGATACTCGTCTAACTCTCTAGCTCTCGCAAGAGCCATCTCAGGGAAGAATTCAAGTGCGCAATTGAGCTTGACATAATTAATATGCTTCATGATGCAATTGTGAGCTACTCACAAGTTGATGAGCTAATGCGGCCCTTTTGCAAAATGCCGTTGTTACTGCAACAGAAGTCAATTCACCCTTTGCCATCTTGGCCACGAGATCAGTAGCTGATGAGTTTGTGATGGCGACCTCGTCAAGAGACATGATATCAGCAGTGCCAGTGTATCCCATCACAGAAGCATCAGTAGGCTGATGTTTCAGACGCCATCCCAGAGGAATACTGGCGTCGATTCTCTCTTTCTTATCTTTTGCAATCTCTTGCCAAGACATGGTGTTTAACGCACAAATGGAAATTGTATTTGCTACTAAAGCTGTTGAATTCTTTGGAGACTTTTGAAAGATGGCGGAGGGGCTAAAAGAATGGCAGATAGGGTGCCACGACAACATATATATGTAGTGTCGTATGCTGGTGGAGGAGGGGGACTTATCTCCAATGGTGGGGTTAATCTATCGGGCACTGGAATAGTGGGCATTTACCGTGTGGGGAAGTCCTCGATGCCACGATATTGGCAGCATCGCATATGCAGGCCAGGTTTATTAAGTCCTGACGAGGCACAGCCACAAATTGGTACAAAGAAACGATTAACGATAACTTGATAGGGAAAGCAATATCCCAGGCAAACAATAGGAACACACATGTAACCTTCTAACATGATGCGGATATTCGATGATTGAGCACATTTAATGGACCGATGCAATCATCCAGACCTCATTGCGGATGATTAGGTAGAAAGTACTGAGGTCAAATGCATGGAAATGAAGCCAAACAATATGGCAAGTTGATAAGAACATCAGATAAGCCATTTGTTGGCAGCATCAGGATCTCAAGTCTCAATATACAGAAGATCTATTGTATTGGCCTTCACATTACGAACCTTGATTTTCAAGTGTCTCTTGATCTAACTAGATGCAGAGTTCCGAGTAGAGTTTGTAGTTGGCTTTCTTGTTGATCCCGACTCGGACAGTAACGGTGTACTCTCAACGGCGGTTCCACCCTCATCATCTGTATCGTGTTCTCGCGAGCCTGCAATATATCCAACAATACATCTTCCATTGGACTGTCTGACGTTAGTAAGTGTCTCTGAATTGGAAGGTAATATACTGACAGCTGCATCCTCACTACCCTGTCTTTCTCTTCTAGCTTTTAGTTCAAACGAAATTCCCATTGCCAACAAGCATCCTTGTAAGCATCCTGTAACCAAGAATACACCCCATGTACTCCAACCCCCTGCTCCCAACCTAGCGAAAAGACTTGCAGACCAAACAAAGCTGCCTGGAGTTTGAATCAACATCATCGGTATACTCAAGCTTCCAATATGGCCAAGATTATATGTCAACCATATTTGAGGTAGGTATTGTATGCCTGCTAGGATTGTAGCTATAATTCCCAACGCGTTGGCCCATACCCCAAGGGAATTAGGACGACCGAGTGCCAACGATACACTGATAACGATGGTGATGAAGCCATGAAAAAGGCATACCAAAGCTACCGTGACAGCCGTGCGCCATGTATGTTGTTGTTTATTATCATCAAGGGTAGGAAGGGTTGGAGTTCTCGGGAAGAATACCATAAAAAGGATTAATCTATGTCAAAGTTGTGTCAGCATTCATCTCTCCCCTGTTAGATAGCTCCCACCGCGTACATTATACTAAAACAGAACCATTGAACCCCGACCTGGGCAATCCCTAGCAATCCTGCCGCACATTCGAATGTGCTAACAGTTCTACAACATGCAACGTCCGCACGAGATGCTGGTAGAACTATAATGTTGGCGAATGCGCATGTTCCTGATGTTGTGCCTAGAAGAATGAAAAAAGGTGATATCCCTTCCGAGGTACCGCGACTGATGATTCGATAATGTTGAGGTAGGTAAGAGACGAGTATTCCAATAAGGATGAAGCTTCATGTAGTGCAGTATTTAGCACATTATCATGGAAATAGATGTGAAAGATGGTTGAGGAAGTTTCCTTACATCGATACCGCGAGATTGACGTAGCTTACATCTTGAAGCTTCTGGCAGCGGTCTGATAAGCTATCTGTGATAGAAAGCATAATGAGAGGTTTGAAAGTAAATAAGATGGGTGTTGTACAGATGAATAATGGGAATTCTAAATCCGGTTCTTTGTTTGGTGAATAATCCGGCCCATTGGCAGGTATTCGTAGAAGATAGCGATGTCGATGTTGATGTTGATGTCGATGTTGATGGTTATTCAAGTGAGGCTTCAAAGAAATGCCATAGCTTATGGAGTAAGGTACCAATAAGCAGGGATCACACGAAACACGCATCCTCGTATCTCAGCTGACTGAGACGAAGGGGGTAAATGACAGGGATTCTTGGAACTAGCGGCCGCGCGGAGAATAGGAAGTTATTGATTATTCAACAGAAGGACTTATTGATGATTCAGCAGAATAGGACTTATTGATTATTCAGCAGACTAGAACTTATTGATTGCTCAGCAGACTAGAACTCCCGCTTCCATGCTTCTATTACTCGTTTGGGCAGAAAAGGATGAACTACCAGAAGATGAGGCATAACCTGGTGTCTATCACATCCTAATTTCACACTCCCCTGACGGCACGACTAGGTATCTCAAACAAACTTGGGCAACTACCGGTGAGCATAACATACTCCGGATGCTCAACGAAGCAGAAGTCGGTATTCGGATGCTATTAGCTCTTCTTAGCTCGTCCATAAATGTACTGGTACTCCACTAATAAGCTTACTCCAATATATGAAGCAGGAAGTGGGCCATTTTAAATAAATGTCAGTGCATTTTACATGGGCCTACGCCCTGCACGCCAACCTGCATAAACGCCGCGTTTCCACCATCATCTGCTCAGAACTACTCGTATTTGCTATTTACCTTTCACATTTATTATTACCTCAACGACCTGAAAAAAAGACAAAGTGGACTGTCTCTTTCATCGCTCTGAAAATTCAATTAAGGTTTTTCTTCATATCTAAATTCCTCTGGGACCGATCTTCTTGGTAAGCAGGAGTTTCTGGATACATCACGAAAGGTCTGAAAAACTCCGGGTTTGCTATAACTTATAAAACCCTTCCTTTTATCTACTAGTTTCGATAGCTTCCAAGTTCTACTGCTGAGAAGTGTACTACAACTTAGCAGCTTTATTAGTTCATGTTCATTTTCACGGCCAACAGGCATCATGACATCCAACACTTTTAGAACCCCACAAATGCAGAGCAAATCCGTTAAACGGAGTCGAAATCGCACATTACTCTCGTGTACCGAATGCCATAGGAGGAAACAAAAATGCAATCGAAGTCATCCTTGTAATGATTGTATGGAGCGAGGTGTTCCACACAAATGCCATTTTGTGACATCCTTGTGAGTACTCAACGTGCATACTGCTAGAGTCAAGAGATTTTATTAATCGTGAGGAAGACGGATAGATTTAAAACAAGACAATAAAAGTGCAAGAGCGGCTCGTGACCGAAGGATACTTAGCGGTCAGGAAATTTTACTTAGTCTCGAATCAGTCGACGGTTTACCAAGAGCTAGGCCATGCTACGCATCTACTCGAGCAGCTGGAGCTGTGACACCAATATTGTTTTCAAGGCATACGACTACCTATGGTAAAGAATTTCAGGCTTCCTTTGAGCCTAGATTAAGGAGCGATTTAATGGGTGGATTTGATGCATTCTCTGTCTTGCCAGATACCACCGGGGACCCGCTTCCCAAATCAGCTCTTGTCGAATATTGTAAGCAGCATCTTAATATAGCGGGAAAATTTATAATAACAATCGGAAGTTATCACACATCTAGGTTCGTGGATTGCTTCATGTGAAGATGGTCCGCTGGTGGGTCGCCCGGCATTCTCCTGGCTGAAAGTTGCATTGCACCACCCCCCATTATTCTACGCCACTCTATTAGGCGCAGCAGTTCACCTGGACCGCAGACAGCCAATTGGCAAACGCACTTTGATCTGGTACAAAATTGAAACGATGCGTCTAGCAAATGGGATAATGAACATACCGAACGAAGGTGCCACGGATCAAATGCTCATTGTGGTCTTGATCTTGCTATATTTTAATGTAAGTCTTCTCCTCATTGTTCTAGTACCATGCTAAGAGAAGCATCAGGTCGGAGATGGAGACGGAGAGGAATATGAAATGCACCTCAAAGGTATCAACCAAATGCTAATTATGAGAGGAGGCATGGGAAATTTAGGAATGAGAGGCATAATCAAGTACTGGCTAAAGAGTTGTTACGGCCCCTGGAATGACGATTGGCACTATGGACTCTTTGTTGAATTTCACGGTATTAAACGACAATCGCCTAAATAAATAATTAAATGCAGATGAATATTTGCAAGATTACTTGGATGAGCTAGAGGAAAGGAACTTCGAAAGTTATCGCACACTAATCTAAAAGTTTCCCACGATCACCTTCACTTCTCCAAGCTCTTCTTCCACTCTTCCACTGTCAATACCTCATTCGCAAACAATGGCCAAATAAGATCAGTAGCAGCATCCTTCAACACGGTAGAAAAGCCAGCCGTTGCATCCTTAAGCATAGTCACACGATATCCCCTGACATCAGCATCAGCAATCGTCTAACACACTCAAGTGGGAAGTTAACTCACAATTCAAAAGCATATCTAGCCGTGGATTCCAGACACGTATTTGCAGTCAACCCAGCAAAGACCAAATGCGTGATATCTCTTTGTCTCAACTGATACTCCAAATCAGTGTTTTGAAATGAGCTGTTTCTAATTAGTTCCCGCCTCTCATTCAACCCCGCACAGAACAGCGAACACATACCTGCTACACCAATGTTTACTAACGACTACGTCACCATTCCCTTCGACATCCGGTTCCAACCCCTCAAAAATCTCGACCCCCCACGTCCCCGCCTCAAATACGTGATTCTCTTTCTGAGCTTCCTGGGTCGAGGTTGGATGATTCCAACCAGCTAAAAATCCAGCCTTCACTTGCTGATGCAAACCATAATAAATGGGGATCTTGTGTGCACGAGCGGCAGTCACAAGATTTTTCAGGTGAAAGAGGGTGTTTGTATCGGCCATCGATTCGGCAAGGATATGGTTGGCTTTGCCTTCGGGGTGTAAGAAGTCGTTGTATGGATCTACTAAAACGATTGCAGTTTTGGCGGTGGAAGACATTTTGGCTTTGCGTTGCTTGGGCTGAGTTAGGATGGGATAGAGTGAGTAAGTGCTATGTTGTATAAGTAATTGAGGAAACTGTGAGCTTGGGGATATTTTAGAGAGGAATAAAGGAAAATTCTATGGTCTTTATATATTTCTCTGTGAGCGATTATATCTAGCATCGAGAGTCAGTCATCGATTCACCTATCTCGGCTTTAATGCACGTTTCGTTGATTGGCACTGTTACACCTGATGATCAATCAATCATCGCTAATCGACAGATCAAATCGGACAAATTATTCGCAAGATACCAAACTATGAGCAAAGACTCCGGAATAGTTTCCAAACATGATATGGAGATCATAGCTTACAAATTACAAATGCGTAACAAAATCTGCAAAGCTAAAATCGGCATTAATGCATGATTAGATGATTGGGAAACTCTATTTAGGGCTGAGCTTTGATTAGTGATCTGTTGTGTGCATGAATATTAGTATAGTGGGTATTATCAATACGATAGATGAAAAGAATTATAAGATTATCATGTATGCCAATACTGAAATAAATCAAATATATCTCTTTATTATCCCACTTCAAAGGTGGTGATAGAGTTACCTCTCGGGAGTTTTAGATATAGAGAGTTTCTCTCGGGGTAGAGTAGTCATGTCTTTTGAGTGCGAGTTGTTTTATTTTACATCACCTCTTATATTAGAATTGTTTATATTTTTAAAGTGTTCTTTTAAATGAATAATTATTGATAATAGACATTAAAGAAAGAAAAATCAATTTTCATTTCATCTCTTATACAAGATTGTGGACGGGTCTTGGATATTTTGAACTTTCTCTTTATTTCTTTTGATTCCGAGTGTCTATCTTTTCTATCCTATTTCCCTGATAGATATTTTCTAGGGTTTTCTCTTTCCTTTTTACTTTTACCCTCTTCTTCTTTGCACAAACAAGTATACAAATAGTATAGAAATTTCCCAGCGGACCCCTGTCCCTGTGTTTGCTCAAGTTAGTGTGGGGGAGGGAAGACAACTTTTAATTCAATGTCGTTTTCCTCTCATTCTCATATAATCCTTAGAATAGATGTTCAATCACGAAATTCATCGTTCATGTTTTTTTCTATGATCCTTCAAATACAGTATAAATGATAAAAATATATTACCGGGTAATCTCGGCCGCTCGTACTTGAGTTACAAGGAGGATACCTCCGTGTTTATTACTTGTATGTATCCTGACTGATGAGCAATTATTGTATCTAGTCTAAATCATTCATAGGGTTATCGAAGGCAGCAATAGCTTGTGGCTACAAGGCCCCTGACGAAAGAGGCCACACCTGTTGATACTCCTTCATTCCCAAATAATACTCCAAACAAACAGCGGCGACTCAAATGAAAAGCGAGAAAACCCGCCAAGGAATCCGTGGTGAAGTTCAAAGTCCAAGAGGAAATACATTCATTGAATGTTCCGAAGACTAGATATACTATCACAACGAAAGAGGTGATCGAGCAGGCTCAAGCTATTGCTGGTAGAGTTGAGCTACCCCATAATGTGCGTAAAGTCCTCAAGCGAGCGATCCATGCTCGAAAACGTTGTGCATATTGGTTCCAAATATATAATGTCGAGAACCAATGCTCAAATGAAGGCCACCAACACTTCATTACGATTCTGGAACAGACTTTGAGCATTATAGATCGGCAAAAACCCAAGAAAAATTCTTCAAACGATGGGATACTTCAACCAAGAATACGAGCAAGGCAAGTGATGGGGACTCTTCCTGGACATAGATGACCCATCATTTTCAAATCTTAGTACTGAAGAAATCTTGGATCCGGATGACAAGGATAACGGCTCGGATGTCACAGTCGACATGTCAACTACCTACGAACTAGAGGATGAATCTGTTGAGATGAAATGAGTCTTATGATCTTTCATTTCTTCAAGGATATCCATCGTATTCAAGACTTCTTGCACGGTATATGGAAGAACTATAAGAATAGAAAGTTGGACCTTGGTAGTGCTAGTCTCATGACCAACTCGGCGTTTGAGCTTGTTCGTCGCAACGAGTATGAAATCCTAGCTACGGCGCCAAAACTTTTCTCAATGAAGCGGTCTTATGATACGATTGCCATCGTTATATTCTATGCCAACACTTTCAGTCATAGTCAAGACCCAGAACAGACCATAACAGCCAAAAAAATGCTGCGACCAACCCGCTTTGATAACTTCATACATCTTTCTACTTCTCGCATTTTGATGAAATATGACTTCTTGAGTAAAATGGAACCAGACTCCCCTGGTTACCCGATTCTTTCCTTCCCACTTCATGCTGGCTATAGTTCATATTCGGAGGTACGGGGAACGCTTGATATGAATAAAAAGGAAGAAGAAGATGCTTTGTTATCACAATTCATCATTGACCTTTATTTGTTTGATCTGCATAACAAAACAATAAAAGCAATGGACTAGGCCAATATGCCCCTCGCGCTGAAGATGCGTTAAGTTCTGGCTTGCGCAAGTTAAGAATGGAAGGAATCATCAGCGTTAGTCTCGTATTTGCCTCACGAATATTCCTCGATCTTCACGACATACTTGGCAGTGAGATCAAGATGGGCCGCCGACATTTAAACGTTACGGGTAATCGGATCGGGAGGAATTTGGAAGCTACGGGTGTTTTCTCAGAGGCAGGACATCAAATGGCCTGCTATGGAACAGATGATAGAATTGCACATGGAAGATATGTTTTCAGGCAGTCTACACCAATTTGCCACTAAATGTTACATTTGCTTTACAAAACATATGGGCATTTTCAAGGCGAAAATGGCACACTATCAACGTGGCTTTCCGTACAAAGGACCAAAATATGTAATCAACACCGTCACTACATCTACTCGTGCGTTTCTCGGCTATCAAGCAAATTTTAGTGATCCCAGCAAAAATCTTCAGCGCCTAGTTCAAAACCACCGAATTCTCACAGATAATGAAACAAAACACCAACGCCGAAATGCGAGACGACAACTCACGCCGTTGCAGTATCTTTCTACCTTGCAAGAGTTTCTCCCCGCAGAGCTTGCTAAAGTGCAATTCGATTGCACTTCATTGACCGTGGCATGTCATTTGTTGATGGGGAAGTTCCGTGTTCAAATCAAGCAGCAGTTAGGGATAGAGCATCCTATATTTCCATGCGAAGACAGCATTGAGCCATCATATCCATTTATAGTAATGGATATCTTTCATGAAGGAAGAAATGGAGGAGAAAATCCTTGGCTGAAAATAGTGGCCAGTGTTTTGATGAATTATTTAGCGAGCTTGTAATGGCCTTGATAGGAGAAATGATAAGCTGAATGTCGTGGATGGTGTACTATGCGAACATTGGATGGTATGGAATTAGTTCTGGTGGAAAGTTCAGAGACATGCAAGGAAGATCTGTGAAATTAAAGTGCTCCATCAGATCATTGAATAAGCCCCATTGTGAGGTGTGGCTTTGTAATTGGCAAATTCTAATCAACATCTAAGAAAAATAAGTTGATCTAACTCTAGAGTAACATGCAGCACATAGAGTTTATTCATAATAGGAAAATTTCTTCCCTTTCAAAAGAATGTCTCCTATTTGTGGCATTTTTTGAGCCCAAGAGTCAAGTTTTGCGTTCTGCTTGCTCATAAAGTAGTATTATATTTTTGGGAGCTCACTCCGCACAAAAAACTACATGCTATGTCAAGTTTCAAGCGAATGACAAGCAAGTAGGTACTAACTCATCACTGAGATATCTGGCACAATTCTCCCCTCAGATTCTATCTAAACGCTAGCTCCAGATTATTGCGTGCCTACACTTTCACTGTCAGAGTTAGCCAAAGTTCGACGGCTGCAGATACATTTGTCCCAGTCTAGAAAGTTTATTGTTTGAGGCGGACATATCCATCATGTTCTTGTGAACTAGGCTGCGCAAAAATAATCCGCCTCTCACGGGCACCGGTGGCTTACCCGCCCTGTGGGCTACCCACTGTGGTTTTAAAATAACCCGTCCCGTACAGTTTATCTGCAGGTCGCCTATGGGTGCCCATCAACCCTGTTGGTTTATGTTATTCTGTATTGTTTAGGAAGATTAATATAGAAATTAGTATAATTTGAGCAGATATTTGTAGGATCAATGTATCCAACAATCTTCCCGTACTCCATCCGGACAGCCGTCCAGACGGTTAATCTGTAATTTGATTGGACTAGATAAATTATTGAAAGAGTTCTTATATAAAAATTCTGGATTAAATATTTTAATATTAAAAAATCTAGATTGTTATCCAGATTTTTGGATTAGTTGATTTCATATTATATTTAATATAAAACGATATAACATAACTCATGGTGAACCGGGTCATATGGGGAACCGGGTCACAAAATTCAATTTTCTCTATGCGATCTAGTTCTACGAGCTATATATTCATCTAATTCCAACTCTAAATCGCTTGAACTATTCTCTAGTTCTTTCTCTTCAATACTTCCTTAGTACTAAAGACGAATTGGCCTTGTAATTTGATCCTTTTGTCTTTAGTTCTTTTCTTTCGAGTCTCGATTACCTCCTAAGCATCAGCGAACTGTTTCCGAAGTAGGGTTATCTCAGCATTTTGAGATTCTACAAGCCTAGTCATTCTCTTGGTATATCGATGAGTTGATGATACAGGAGAATCACTGCCTGCTAGAGCTGAATTAAAGATCTGATTTGCTTGCCTTGGTTCTGTTCTATTTGGAGGAGAACTTTGGAGTATAGAAAAGTCTAGACCTTGATTGGTAGTTCTTATTTGTAAAGTAGAAAATTGTTGGGAGGGATTAAATGGTAATATATCAAGTACTTTTCGTGGGGAAAAATGTATCAAACCAATTCCTCTTTAACCAACTTTAATATTAGAAGAATTGATTGCTTTCATTCTGATCTTTTGAAATAGTTCTACCCATTCAGCTCTTTGGATTCATTTTACACCAGTTTGAGAATATCGATCGACCTTTAAAGAATGATATCGTTTTATTGGTTTATATACTCCAATATCAAGAGGCTGAAGCAAATGAAAGTAATAAAAGGATAGTATAAGCAAATCGATATTCTTCTCTATATAAAAAGCAATTAGATTGTTTATAATATGATTTGAATGACCATCCATGATTAAAAGTCGAGGTTGATCATTTGACACTTTCTTGGATTCTGGCTCGAAAACCCTTTGTAATTATTTTAATCCATAACTATTTGAGGTCCATCCACTTATACTAATAATGTTGACCTCCTGGGATCTTGGCAGCATATGCATATATAGTGCATATGCATATAAGGAGCAAACAAAACTCAACTTTTAATTCATTCTTTCCTTTTTGGTATACTGTTTGTTTGCTTTCAATATTTTGATTTTAAAGCACTTTAATTCCGAAGGCCGAATACCCAACCTATTCCTTCATTTTTTTGAATATATGCTCGCAGCTTAACTGCTTAGCTAGAGAATCAATAAATTCAATCTGATGCTCTTTCTAGTCTCAAGAAACCCAACAAATAAAGAACTATCAATCTTAAAATGTATCCTTTGGAATCTATATAGTATTCGTATTTTGAATCTTGAAAATAATTATAGATAATAAAGCCTTTCCAATTGTATTAATATATTCAAATACAGTTATCTATTCTTGCTTATCAATTATAATCTTCCAATTCGATTTCTGAATAGAATCGACTATAATACAAGTACTTTGAATACCTTCGATTACAAATCCAATTTCGTTTATATTATATATATTATTTAATTTATACTTTCGCTCAATAAGATATGCTTGGAATATATCAAATTAGATCTGAATATTCTTTGGAATTGCCTCTTTAGTCTGATTAGACTTTAATTGATATAAATAGTATACTTTAAGTTCTGGATATCGTTTTTGGAACCTATAGATCCATTCGTGGCCTATAAGTGGAATATTTGTCGAGGTAGGGTTTGGAGAGGATACGACTTGGATGTATCGAATACGAATTTCATCAGCTATTTCCTTTATCAATATAGATATAATAAAGAATCTAATAATAATAAAATATAAGATCCATTATACTAATGTATTTTCTTCTGTGTTTGAAAGAATTTGAGCCATTTCGTGAGATTGGATACATGATTTCCTTCTAGCGACCCTAGTTATAAAAGTTGACTTAGAAACTTCAAAATACTCTGCAACCTTTCTAATTGAATCAATTTCCTTTAATTGAAGTGCAATAATAGCATTCTGTATCTTCTCTTCAATTTGAGAAGGTGTAAGAGGTGGTTCGAGACGCATAGCAAAAATTATTATAGTTTGAAGTTAGTGATGGGCTAATTATGACCCGGTTCACCATAAGTTACGTTATATTTAAAATTTATTAATTATAATAAAAAGTGATTTTATATTATACAATTCAATTATTAAATAATTTAAAAGTCTAGATGAACTAGATTATAATCCAATTTATTAAGGTACTTTAATATTCAAAATAGATTATTTAATATATCAATAAACTAAAATTTGATTGGTTAACTTGAAATATCTAATTAATCTTGCAATCCAGACTATTGGATACATTGTGTAGGATATCCACAAATTTGTAGAGTACCGATAAATTATCTGCAGATTATTCATGAATAACCCGTCAATCCATAGATTGGTGAGTAGTCTGTAGGTTAGTGGGTAGCCCGCAGATAATCTGCAGATAGCCTATGGGTGCCCATTTAGATTCTTCAACAACCTGGCCCGCCAGCCCATGGGCTACCCACCAGGGCAAGAACCCGCCCTGTGGGTTCCCGTTGCGCAGCCATTTGTGAGCATATTTGCTGCTAAGTATTGTATTAATCAATTTAACTATTGTGTTGATTGAGCCGCATCTGAAGCTAGAGTTACTTTTCGACACTTGGCCTAGCTTGCCGTCCTACTTTTAAACCCACAATATCACAAATATTCACAGCACTATCTCAAGATATAACACATCAATTATCGAGGATCATGATGTTTTCAAAACATTCTAGTAAGGAAAGATCTTGGTCCTCTGGAAAATTTATCCTATCTCACCTATTATATTCAAATCTACAGGTAGTAAACTTCAATGCTCTTTTGAAGGTCTGGCACATGAATGAGACTTTTGTTCAGCTTACTCAAAGGAACCATCTATCCCATCATTCTTTGCAAATTTCTCCATTCCTTTAATAGGCAACATGTATAGATGGCAGGCTCAGCTCTGTTTCGATACAAATTCAGCACAGTTGTTGATGGAGATGGAATTTGGGGTTAGAATCTACAGTGCTGCCCTTTTATACACCATTGCCTCAATTTTGCTGCCAATAATCCAAATCTCCTTTACCGGATTATAAGACTTAGCTAAATGGATGTGTCCTGTATTACTATTAACTAAGCGCCGATCCCTTTATTTCAAACCATATTCGTTCAAAATAAAGAACGAAAAAAGTTTTTATCTGTTATCATTGTATCTAATTTGGGGAATTCTAGGGCAGTGTAAATATACACAAAAGCACAATGACTAAATATCACTTCTAAAGCATTCCCCAAATCTCCATCTCGTTGCTTGGAGCTTTTATATCCTCCGTTGAATCTCAGCTCACCAATACTTCCTTTTCATCTAGCATCCATACTTAATTCTTCAGTACATCAGCTACTCCCTTAATATATCGAAAACAAAACCACCATTCGCCCCTATAGACCCCACATACCCAACTGCATCCAAAATTTTGCACCCCAAATCCCAACCTCATCCCCGCATTCGCGGCTGAGCTCATAGATGCTGTTACAATTGCCTTCCCGATAAACCTGAGAATGAAACTGGGGAGGTGGTGGACATAAGTGTTGCTGTAGTTGAGGAAGTCTGAGTTTGAGGAGCCTATACACCCAGCCGCAGTTTTAAGTTTGACTGACAAATGAATAGGAGAAAATAAAAGGAGATGCTCGTTGGATGGATGGGAATGAACAATAATCTATCAATGTTCTTCATAAGCAATTAGTAACTGTGCAATAGTATCTATTTTAAGTTTTTTCTCTCTTTTTTTTGCCGCTAACATTGTTTCAAAGTGTATTTTACTGGTATGCTCTGCGTGCAAGGATTTTTTTTCACTCTAGTATCACAAAGCTAATCATTAGATTTTATTTGCGTTCAAGCATTCTTTGAAGATCAGAAAGCACATGTCATTTTGAAGATTTAATCACGAGAGAAAATCTCACAGGAGGAAGAAAAAATTGCAAGGAAATTCATTCATTAGAATCCGAACCTCGAATCCGAGAACGGCAAGCGCTTCTGGAATTGGATTCATTTGATAGCTCAGTATGTACAATGCATCCGGTAATTGAGCTATTCAGCTCTTAACAATTCATGACTTTCCCATAGCCAGTCCAGTTGTACCAGCTCGGCCCATCCGACCCCCACTAAATATTCCCTTAAAAACCATAACCCTTTCCATGTCGCACCATAATATGAAAGACATGAACAAAATAACCAAATTGCAGAAACCTAAACTCCTCCCTACCATAAAACCTGTGTGCCCAGGATCGAATCGTTGGAAATGTCTTCGAGTGTAGAAGCATTGAACGGGAATCCGAAGGACAGGATCGGCTTTGTTAAGCTATTAGACTCGTTAGTATGAGAATCTAAATGTAAGCAGCAAATAGAATGGATTAACTTACTTGTTGATTGGACTCCAACAGCGTCTTCTTGAACTCTAGCCGCTTCTGCTTGAACTCTAGTCACATCTGTTGGTTGTTCCTTCGGTCTCTCTATGATAAGACAAAACGTGATCATTCCTATTGCTATAAGAGCAAGAACAAACCGCTGATTTTGTCCGAGATCTGAATCCAATTTACGATGGAAAATGAAGAGGACGCTGAGAGATGCTATAACTGCCGAAGGTTGGATGCTATTTAAGAAATGCTTCAAAAATCGGAAGGCGCGTTTATATTTAGAGAGATCCTTAAAAAATCCGAAGAAATATCCGGCGAGGTGCTCAACGAATTCGAAGAAAGATTTCAAGACGTAGTAGACAGATAAAAGGATTAAGCCGACGGCTAAGACAAAAGCCGCGCCCCAGGAAATAGATTCATTGCTTATTCCCGAATCTTTCAACCATTTATAACAAGTTTTTGCGTAATTGATCAACTTCGGAAGGAATGGGAGGAGCTGCTTAAAGGTTTCGATATCCATGGCGACGATGAGAAAGATTAGTATCGTAAGTAATGTAATAGTTTTTCTGTATGTTCTGATTGTTGTAAAGTTGTAGTGACCAGGTACAAATAATGTGATGGCTTTTGAAATAACAACGCATACAAATACTGTAAGTAAAAGTCGATTGCTTGTTGATGTTAACATACCAAAGTGTTGTGTATTGCTTTGGTCCATGATGCATGGTTGCTTAAGGTATTAATTATCGAATATCAAATATTCAAATAGTTTCCGCTTTTCCTTTGCAAGACTGATGATAACGGTAGTGTTCGAATGGTTGTTTATTTTACATTGTAAGAGTAGAATCGAGTTTAACTTTATACTTTTTGGAAAATAGTAGTGTCAAGTACCCGAGACAATACGGTTAACCGAAGGATACTTAGCGTCTCGGTAAATAGTTGTTGTCTAAGATATACGTCTAATTACAACATCTAGGAACTAGATTCGTATCAGATACTGTAGTAATTCTACAAGTTTTTTCTTTGTTTTATTCAAATACTTCCTGTTAGCAATGATTAAAACATTATTATTATTGTTTAGCGTAGAAATAAACCAAAGAATTTTGATATCGTAAACCAAACCGTAATGTGCTTTCTCACCCGTATACCATGACTAGAATCAAATCATGATTACGGGTTTTGTTTGCCTATAAATACAGCCATCTTGATCGTAGAAGAGCCGGTAATTATGGCAAAACTGGATCCCCTAGGCCGTATAAAAAGGCATGATATCTGGACAAAATAGCGGCCTTGGGGCCTGAATTAGTTGTAAACGGGAAAGTGAAGCTATTCCCACTTAGTTATTTCACTAATGAATTCATGAGTCATATCTTCCATTTTAACTTCATATTTTAATGGAACATCTATTTGAATCATTTACCATCCAACTGCAGTCACCCAGAGATTATTATTTTACAATTGCATTATTCATTTGCAGATTATCTTTAGCAACCTCTAACCTTCTAAAGAATAAATGCCACTGAATACCCCTTTTACTTCCTTCCATCTGACCACCACATTAGCTTAAATGCTCCTGGATATTTAGTGCAGCAGTTCATAGACCAGAAATCCCGGCACCGAGCACCCTCACTTTCAAATAACTTGAGTACGGCGTCACAAAGAATACATGCACTTGAACTTTATATGTCTCCACTTCTCGGCAGAGCTCGTGAAGAGTGGTCCATTCATTATTACAGGCGTTGGCATCTCCATCGTGAGAACATGAGGCCATTGACTCTACTGACGGGACAATGGGTGACCCTAGAACTGGGCGAAGGAACTGAATCCGAAGACGCAATCATGTATCTGAGGTAGTCTCGATGTTTTCAGATCCGTGGTTTATTAACTGTGGAATGGACTTGTCATTTCTGATTGCCTTGCGGCGGATGATAACAGTAATCTAGTCAGAAGCCTCAAATATCTTGTGCGACATTGTTTATTTTACAAGAAGGATGTCATAAATCTTGAATCATTAAAGAAGTGACGAGAAAAACGTAAAAGAACAGATGAATGTCTCTTCAAGTTGACTTATGAAAATGATCATCAATTTGAGTTGTATTTTTGTAGTACTGACAATGAGGTGAACCACTACTCAACCAATGTTAAACTCACTCGCGGCAGACATATGTTCCTTCATCTTCCTCTTCATCCTCGCGGCAACCTCATTACTATCCACAGTAGGTAGATCCAACTCCATTTTCCTCTGTTTCCGTACTCTTTCTCCCTCTGGAGCTTTCTCTTCTTCTTTTTCACCTCTCTTCGCCTTCCTAGCCGCGACACTTCTGTCTGCTTTTGTCATTTTCGCTGGTCTTAATCCTGGTACCTTGATACTTCCAGGCTTGTCTCGTAAGGCGAATGCTTTGGCTAAATGACCTAAGTGCAGTTCTTGCATATTAAATATGTGTCTCTCGTTTGCAACGTGAGTGGCATAAGCTCTGATGTGACTCTGAAATCCACGACGTGCCATTTCGAGATATCTTGGTGAATCTAAACTCCATCGCTCAACCTCTAGTTGGAAATTCGTAGCCCTCTCTTCCCATTCGCGACCCGTACCACCGAAACCCTTTTGTATCAAATCTTCAGCAGTGTGATGTGTCAGGGCCTTCCTTCCTTCACGGTACCCGGAAGCCAAGATAGATACATATTCCTCCTCGGTGCCGGGCATGAGAAAGATCAAAGCACGACCCTCACGACCAGCTCTGGCCGTTCGTCCAACACGATGCAGATGATCTTCGGCGCTGAAAGGCGGATCGTATTCGATGACAAAGTCAACATTTGGAAGGTCAAGACCTCGAGATGCAACATCAGTACATATCAAAACACAAGGATCGGCAGATTCAGAATACGCCTTGAGCGTTGCCGTTCTAATGTTTTGTGCAAGAGATCCGTGAAGCTTGTGTAAAATTACAGGGTTGGAGTTGTTTGAAATCGTAGCTCCATGCGTAATAGTCTCTTTGATCAGTTCTGACTTAGGCAGCGTGGGTGGATCGACCTTTCCCTCTTCTGAAGCTTCAGCTGACTTCTCGGCGCTGCGAGAAAAGAGCGAGAAGTGAAAGTCGACAGAGTCTGCACAAGACATAAAAACAATTGCTTTCATCACGGATCCCTTTCTTGCAAAGGCACGTTTTAAGAGAGCCGTTAGAGTAACAAGGCGGAGCTTCGCAGGAACGATAGCATATGACTGCTTCAATTGGGTAGGGGCAGAGAATGCTTTATCATCGGCTTCAATACCATTCGCCTTGTCTTGTTTCTCTTGTTCCGATGGATCCGCTTGAATGTGTACAGCATCTTTTAAACTGATTTCTCCCAAGCGCTGAACGTTCATCTTCATCGTAGCAGAGCATAGAATTGTAACTCTCCGCTTCGGAAGAGACATCATTTCCGAACTACCACTAGCCACAGATCTCCGACCAATTTTCTCAACGATACCTTTAATCTCTTCCTCGAATCCAAGTTCCATCAATCTATCTCCCTCATCCAACACTAGCCATCTCACAGTAGCTACATTCAACACTTCGGTATTGTCAAGATGATCTGCCAATCGCCCTGGCGTTGCAACAAGGATGTTGACACCCTTTCGGAGTCTAGCCTTTTCTGATTGTTTGCTTTCTCCTCCATTGACTGTCGTACCAACTATCCATGGAGCACAGCGTAAAACCTTCTCCAGAACAGCTGCGATTTGTTTACACAATTCCCGCGTAGGTGAAAGAATAATGGCGAAAAGTCCAGAATCTCGATGTATTTGTATCCCATTATCACTCAAAGCCAATATTCGCTCCACTATGGGCAGTAGATACGCCAACGTTTTTCCAGATCCAGTCTCTGCCTGTATAAAAGCATCGCTATCGTCCGATATCAGTTGCGTCACAGATGCTTTTTGAATTGCAGTCGGGGCTTTCATATCAAGTTTTGTAGATAAATGGGCGGCAAGTCTTCTCGATAGTCCTAGATTTGTGAACGTCGCCATTTCCTCTGTCAAAGGCGCATTGGACGGTTTTGCCGGTTCTGATTCTTCTTCTGGTTCATCAAACTTTTTCTTCGAAGTAGGATTGAATGTGAATAGAGACGAGACAACCTGGCCTGGCTTTCTCCCACCTTCGGCGATCTCGCGGTGCACAGCGGCCATTTCACGGTTTCGCATGCCATCGATACTACCATGTGGGAGCTTTCCAGAAATGTAAGCAGGTTTCTTTTCTTCCTGGAAAGAAATCGCCTTCCTTGCACCAGAATTTATACTTCCCGGAGGTAATTTTCCAGAAACAAAAGCTGGCCTGGTTTCTTCCTGAATTGGGGTCGCCTTCTTTCCACTAATGTTGATACTACCAGGGGGTAATTTACCAGCAACAAATGCAGGCCTAGTTTCTTCCTGGAAGGTAGTTTTCCTACCCCGGCCTAGATTTATGCTGCCAGATGGAAGTTTCCCGGAAGCATAAGCTGCTGTACTTTCATTTCTTCCACCGTAAGAATCGTAATTATCGTCAACCCGTTGTCTCTTTGGTGCCCTCAATGAAGGCTCGCGACCAATGTACTCTTCAGCGCCAGTATCATGTTGTCGTTCGGAAAATATCTCTCTCGTCGAGGGCTTACTTGTGCTCCTAGAAACTCGGTGCTGTGCGGTTTTCTTCGCAGCCAATCGATCCTTCCAACGTCCTCCTTTAAATGACTGTTTGGTAACTATTGGTACCTCTCCAATCTCAAAATTCATTAACATTCCATCGTCAGCCATCGTTACTGTTTGTTGAAAGTTTGCTTTGAAATGCCGAGAATTCGTACAAGAAATTGCTCAGATGCAGATGCAAATGCAAAAGCAAAAGTTTCGTCCCAGAAAAAAAGTTGAGCTCGGGCCATTTCATCACAGCCCCGCTAGTATGTACTGTAGGGCGGGAGGTCTAAGCTTTTCCTGGATAAGCGTCCCACCCGCAAATGTCAAAAATTATCTCAGGCTTCATTCTACGCTGCACATAACAGAACAGGATGACTCAAATTGATATCTCTTGCCGATATGGACCCTAACTGGGTTGAACATATTAGTTTCTCATCTAAATTAACTTTGAAACTCACTTTGGAGTACAACAGGCTCAATTGTTCGCGATGATGTCGTTCCCAATGCGCCGATCAGTGGTGCCCCTCTTCGACTCCTCCACTCGAGCATACTGTTCCCCGCGAATGTTCTCGACGGCTTCTGCCTTGCTCCATCGAATCGCCAATCCTACAATACCAAGTACCTCCATCAAGATCTTCCGAGATGTACCTGCGCTTCGCCAATGGCGTCGCAAACAACTAATCGATTATCGAACGGTTGGTCTTGTGCCAACTATGGGAGCTCTTCATGAGGGTCACTTATCACTCATTCGTCTTGCCGCTGCAGATAATTCAAATGTGATAGTGAGCATCTATGTCAATCCAACTCAATTCGGCGTTCACGAAGATCTTGATAGTTATCCGAAGACATGGGAAAAGGATTGCAAGATGTTGAAGGATCTCGACATGGAATTAGCTGATAATGGAAACATGGGAAAGATTGCCGCGGTATTTGCGCCTACAACAGAGACAATGTATCCTAGTGGGCCGCCGAGTCAAGAAGTTAAAGCGAAAGGGAGCTTTGTCACAATCACACCGGTTGGAGAGCTGTTGGAGGGGGCCAGTCGGCCAACATTTTTCAGAGGAGTGGCTACTGTTTGTATGAAGTTATTTAATATTGTTATGCCAGAGAAGGTATATTTTGGACAAAAGGATGTTCAGCAGACTGTGGTTATAAAGAAGATGGTTAGGGATTTCTGCATGGATACCAAAGTTGTCATCGGAGATACACAAAGAGAGCACGATGGTCTGGCATTGAGTTCAAGGAATGTTTATTTAGGAAGAGGAGAAGGGATGTAGCTACAGCACTATTCAAAGTGCTCAGAGTGGCCGAGCAGGGATATAAACTTGGACATCGATCAAGAGATGAGCTCTTGGGACCTGCATTGGAATTGGCGAAATTGTTGCTAATGGAACAGCATCAATTGAAGCCCGAGGAACGAGTAAGGTTCGAGTTGGATTATATATCATTGACGGATCCTATGAACATGGAAGAGATCCAGGAAGTTGACGAAACGAAAGGCGCAATTTTGAGTGGAGCGATAAAGATGTTGCCAGTAGAAGCACCACAACCTGGAGAGGATCTTGGTTTGTCTGATGGGCCTCCAGTAAGACTGATAGACAACATTATATTAAAACCCGTAAAGTTATGAGATGGTGGGAAATATAGATAGAAGACTACATATACTAAGAAATAAATGACATCCTTGTCCGCCGTCTTAGTCGTCCCGTTTCTTGAAGTGTTATACCACAATGCCACCCTCCACAGGTTAACTTCATCAGCAGCATCCCCTTCGCGATATATCCCACAAACAGTAACAACATGTGAAATATTCAAAGATTCCATCCCATTTTCACTCTTCTGCTCCATAACCATAACCATAACCATATCCTTACCACCCCAAAATTAATTCACACATCCAAGAATCCAGAACTCCCATTCCACCACCCCATTAATTTCTAGAAAAAAAAAAAAAAAACCTAGCCACATATATCCTTCTCCTCCTCTCCTATAAACAAACCCATCGAATTATACATGCATTTCTGCACCTTGGTGAAGGGATAAATTAACAAGTAGCTAAACTGTATGTAGAGAAACACGGGATTCAAGAGAGGTTTAAATAAGTAAGTAGGATATGAAAGGGAAGATATAATAGGATGGGATTCCTGCGTGCGGGCTCTTCAGCATATTAAGACTTTTATGGATAGGGTTATTCAGAGCTTATATGAATATATTAGTGTAGATAAGAAGGATAGAAGAATAAATTTTCATACCATAGCAAGAGAGACACAGATAACTTATTGCTAGAGTTCATGCCTGTATAGGTCACTTATTAAAGATCTTTGGAGTTTCTTAGATTTGTGAATCCGTGGATTTAAGACTGGTCATATATTATCCGAGTTTAATTTTCTCGTTGAGCTTCCTGGGGATTCGTCTTTAGAAGGAGCTTGCGAATGAAATGAAATGATATGTCATCTTCTTCGTTGTTTATACTTGAGCCTTCAGTGCGGGTATAGATATTGTGGTAATGCGATTGAGCATCATGAAAAGCGCGTGACACGTGAGAAAATAAATTCTGGCGCAAATTGCTGCCCGAGAAGCAAACCCTTGTATCTCAAATTTAAGACTCTTACAATCTCCTTATACTGGATATCTTCTCGATTTCCTAAAAACAACTTTGCATTTTTCCTTCCTAACAAAAAATAACTCCGATCCCATGGTATCCCATTCCTGTTCAAACGTAACGCCCTATCCAAACGTAACGCCCCCAGATTTCCCGCACACCAAAAAAAGTAAAGTATATGCACAGCAAAGAAACGGAAATAAGGCAAAATAAATCCTTAATTATCCTTTAAGAGTACCTCCCGCCCATACAACAAGAGACGCGAGTCAAATAATCTGACGCGTGCAGCTCTGGGACCGGCCTAATCTTGTCCAGTAGCAGGGAACTTCTGCGCCGTTGGAGCTAAATTCATTGCACTCAACGCTGCATTTGAGAGTTGTGTGATACTAGGCAGAATATTGGGATTTCTATTTTGCGTAAGCTCATGAACCGAGATTTGAATCGATGTGGAAGATGCTTACCGAGCAGCTTCGATAGTAGCCACATTATACTTTACAGAGAAAATTGAAGGATTTACCATCATAGCCTTCAAGCCTCTGAGGACCGCAGGAGTGTTCTTAACGATCTTGCTGTTTGCCGAGGAACCTGCACTACCCGCCGCGGCAAACAGAACCGATCTTTGGGAATCCTCGTCGGATTCTGCATTGAATGCTTTTCCGGCAAGCGAAGCGATTTCCAATATATTCGTCATACTGGGAAGTTTGTTTAAGGCAGCTGATACGGTGTTGGCATCATTAGCAAATCCAGATACTGCTGATTTGACTTGTGCTGCTGTAACTTTGCTTTTGCTACCGCTAGTTGCTTTTTTTGCGGCGGCATCACTTTTTAGATCTTCAAAGTCGATCGTTGTGTTTGGCTTTGCGCTACCAGAAGATATTGATGATGCCGATGAGGATGTAGAATTGCCAAATGATGCCAAAGTAGAGTTTCCCTCACGAACAGCCAACCCATTGATGAAACCACGTCGTGTGACGGGTAAGGCAGTAGAGAATGTGAGAATGGAAAGGACAAATAGGACACACGAGAACTTCATTGTGAATATAGATAAGCGAGTGTAAATTATGAGAACATTGATGATGAAGAGTGAACGGCTGACTCGCTATGATTGATCCGTCAACGTTGTATATACCCATGGCCAAGGAACTCCAAGAAAACCCCAGATGCGTCCGAAGTAAATTAGTGGAAAGATTGGACTCAATGGTCGTTCCAGAAAAACTGGGTAGCGGACGTTGGAAAAACTACGCTCAGACAAATTACCCGATGGAGGCGCCCATTTCGGGTAGAGCACGCGAAAGGTTTCATTGTAAGCAGCGATCTGCTCTGAAACGATAGTAAAGCAATTTCATCTAATCGAAATTCACCATTGATCTGTGACATGAGATGACTGGAAGAATTTTGTTTTTCTTTATATGACGTTGACGATTCAAAATTTCCACTTCTCAGTTTTGAATCTGTCGAAATCTTTCGATTAAAATCATAAATTGGCACTGGACTTCAAGAATCGAACGATTTTGTTGCTTAGGCGTATTTAACAATGTAGTTTTTGGTGATGATTGAATCATGAATTCAATGTAGGGGTTGATCCCATCTTTCCCGACGGCTGTTTCGAATCTAGCGTACTTGTAATGTTTACCGATTGCGTCTCAAAATCTTGAGGGTTTACTCACGACTATATGCGTACATGTAGCTGCGCTCAGGCTCGAATTGTTGCATGTCAAAAAATCATTTTCATGATAATAGGCTGATTGAGAATTTAAACGGTGGGAGCTAGTATCAGAAAGGCTTTAAGCATTGACGAGAAAGCCCTGACCAAGAATAGAACAGCTTGTTCCCAAAAGAAAAGGGCTGAGATGTCAGTGTGAATGGGGAAGTAATTTCAGATGCATAACCAAGTCCAAACTCACAAAGATTCTTGATGCTTCAAAAGGTGCCAAGATGCCAGTTTCCCAAAATACTTTAAAACTTAGCGCCAATTGCCTTCAACAGAATTCTTTTCTGGGCATTCATGCTCATGTCCCATCCTCGAATCAGAATGACATAGATTAAGCGTGCGGAACCATGTTTATCCGCGAGTAACACTCCTAGGCCTTTCTCCGCATACCGGCACAGACTGAGAATTCATTCTATCAGTGATATAGAAGGAAGTTCCCTAAAAGTTTTCCTAGCATATTGAATCAACGTTGGACACTTACGTCTATGCTTCCCTGTCATCCAATGATCTCTCCTGAAACTTCGAGGTTAAACCCTTGTCATCTTAAGCTCGACATAACGTGAAAGACAGCGACACAGTGGTAACACTCGTTACATGCAGAGATAGGCTTCAAGATTCATGTAAAACTTTATGTCATGTGGAATAAAACCGTAAAGCAATGACGGAACATCATAGCTCCATAAAATTACTTCTTCGAAAGTTCCTTTTAGAGTGCATATAGAACTAGCTGCCGCTCGAGCTGCCAAGTTGCTCGGACGAGATCAGAATCTAATTATAGTGCAAAGAACAAGGTACACCGCAAAAAGTATGAACCAAAAGCAATCGAGAAAAATTATGCACAACTTCTGAGGTAAGAACGAATTGATAACCTTAACGTACGAGGGAAGTAAAAATACAATGAAAGTGGTTGATAAGTGGTCGATGTCGATGGTGGCCGTAAAAAGGCAACGTCGGAGTATGTAAATGACTCTTGATTTATGGCACATATATATAAGTTTTCAAACTCATTAACAATTGAAATTCAAGTAAAGAAATGGAAACCTTGAAATCGAGCGATGAGAATTGAAGTTTTGAAGGGCTAATCAGCAATCATGTGGCCCATTAAAGTACATGTCACGTGCGTAAGGTCTTGAGGGATCTTCGAAAATTCGCGCTAATGATGCTACATCATTAATCCCTGTCAAAAATGTCCCCGCGTCGCGTTTCTGGGTCATATATAATCTTACCTTGAAGTCAAGGTCAGGACAAGCCTCTAAGCACAATTGTCCTCTTTCTTATGGACATAGTATTAATTAGGAATATTATTGTCACAAAAGTTCCTCTTAACCCTTTTGAGAATTCATAACTTTCGAAGACATTGCGATCAGCCAAACAATTTCACAAACGCGACCCAAATCACCGCGGGGTGTAGAATTAATGGCTCCGGCACCTGGCTCTCAGTATCCCCTTTACAACACTACATTTTCCATATATCGTGCTTCTCCACTCTACATTGGCAAAGAAGCTCTTAATGATGCGGACTTGCAAGTACATGCACGTCGATTTCGAGATATATTAGCAGGTGACGTTTTACGGGGTGTGCAGGTTGGATTAGGGTCTGAAGATGATCCATTGGCTCGTGTAGGTGTATTGCAAACGGTGGTATGGAAAGTTTTCAAAAGAGAAGCTGAATGGGCTGTCGAGGATACAACAGAGGAGAACCTTGGCGAGTCCATGACGGAGACTACACATAACCGTGGAATACTCGTGGAAGTCAACTACGAGAAGGCGAACTACACTGCGATTTTATTACGCTCGACTCCCGAAGACGACATGAACGACTCAATCATGCAATCGTCTGATGATGAATCTGGATTTCTGAGTTTACCTTTGCTATTAACACGCATGCCATTGTCGTTAAGGGAAACATTCATACAATACGTCTGTCGGATTTTCGATACAAGGGTGTCGGCCTTGAAATTGGAAGGAAACGATTTGTCGAAATCATTCGAGCAATACACATCCAACACGATCAACGAAGATGCAACAGCCGAAGAGCGCCAAGCTAGTTTACAGAAAATCATTAAAGAAATCCAAATATCCGTTGGCTTCGACATACCTGGTGGATCTGCTACTCTCAAAACTATTGAAATCCATATTGCCAGGGAAGATCTACCTCGTATGCTCTCCCGAGGAAGTAAAATCACGAAAGATGGATCTCCGTTTATGGCTGCATTGAAAAGTTACATCAAGGCGCATTTGGCATTGGACCTAAATCATGAGAAGGTGAAGATTGTTAAGATTGCATGTGGCGCATTTGTACTTGGCGAAGGAAGGTTGAAACTCACACAACCATCAAGTGTTGAGTATGAAGAGGGCGGACAATATCAGGCAACAAGACAACTCCTCAACGACCTTGTAAATATTGCTTCCAGACGAGGATTGTTAGGGGAGAAGTGAACGCTATAATAGCTTCGCATGTCGAAAGACGTTCATCTCACGAAAAGATGCCCTTGACACTTCACCCAATCAGAAATGAACTCAACTTACCAGAGAAGCTTTGAGGAGGTATTCAAGCTTCCCAGGCTGATACTATAGAGTTCATCCTAACATCTTGCTTGAGCATAACCGCGCGATGAGCGTTGGATACCAGGAGATGTGGCTTGCCTATGCAAAATAGGGTCATGACAAGGCAAAACGCAGACCTAATACTTTATATGACCTGAATTAAACAACAATAGATAAATGACTACTTACCAGAGGAATGTCAAATTGAATCTACGAGATCAACCTCTTCGTCATTTGGTATCTAATCTGGCAGCTCCAATATCCATCTGAGCCCCAACGGAGGTGATCTATTCCATCCGCTCTTTAGGGAACGATTATCTATGACTTTAGTGTACAGAAATTTTGTGAGTTAATACCTCGGATAATGTCATCGCATTGGTATTGGGCTTGTATCTACAATCCAAAGAATTGTAGTATGGAATGTAGATTTGGCGAGATAATCCAGGGGATTGTGTGCCTTAGGCGAATCACAGCCTCATAAGATAATTATTTGCCAAATTACTCATATAATTTTTATATGGTTGCCCTTCATGATTAATATATATTGAGATGTGATTATAACCTTACCATACTGGTATATGCACGACCAATCGAATTCTTATTCACATGGGTCACTCACAAACAAGCAAATGTGAATCACAATTCAAAGTCACCACTCGCACCATATATTTTCTCCAATCCCCCACTTCAACTCAATAGTGGGGTGAGGCTGGTTTCATTTTACTTTTTTCTTCTTTTTCCTTCTTTTATTCTTCAACAAGCGCTTGTGGCGTGATATAGTAGGTAAATTATAACCCCTTAAGAACCCCGTGACTACGCGAAGTGCAGGTTTTTTAGGTGGGGTTCAACTCACGTCTCCCCAAGCACGCTTGAGAGGATGGTAGGGTAGGTAGGTGGTTAGATGCTAGATAGGTAGTTAATAAGAGCCCACATTCACGGAACTCGTTACTTGATTTTTATCATTCATCCATCTTCCTTGCACTCTCACACTCACACTCACACTCACTCCTACTCCCACTTCGAGGAATCAGCACTCAACTCGAGTGCGAAGGTAATACATATTGGAACAACCAACTGCAATCTTATGATACAATATTATTCCCTGATTAAATATTTGCGTCAAATTCACTACAAATTGAGGTACTCTTAAAGCAATCAAATTAATCAAATTCCACTACATCTGTCTTGTTCTATCTGTCGCTCAAAAAGAAGACCCTTCGAAGAGATATCCGGGGAGACCCGTCAATACACACGCGGAACAACTGAGGCGTCTTTCTCGCGACCAACGACCAACGACCGACGCGCGCAACCCTGATTCCTTCTTTCTCCCCACCCACCACACCTGCCCACAGACCAGCATAACGATATCACCCGCCACAATCATTATCAAGCCAAAGTTAAACATCGATATCGACAAATCAATCAATTGACATACCTACACCTCTCTTCATATATCCTTAGCTCCGACAGCTTATCACGACATATATCTTTATATCACATCAAGACTTCATTCCCTAGCAATTGCTACTTTCGCAAAATCATTCCGGTATCATTCAATCTACGAGTTATTGTCGCGACATTGACATTCTCGCATCCGGGTAATTTACAATATCGAGTCCCACTCGACGCGACGGAAACCCGCGTCTTATTATACCTCTGATGGCAAACAACGACAATACTGCCACCCCTATCGGTGCGCATGAACCGGCATTAGTAGAAACAACGGTGCTTCAAAATTTATTATCGCAAGAAACAAAAGTAGGAAGTGCTGGGGGTATCGTCGCAACACAATCCGCGAAAGCAACTGCGACCACCTCCAACAATTCTCAATCGACGACAGATGGTCACGAGCTTGTGTTCACACCTCCTACTATCGAGGAATTCTCGTTACAAAGTACCACACAAGATGGAGGTCCATTATCGCAACTTTCACAACTCTCACAATTGGCTGCCGCACAAATACCACTCGAAAGCAGTACTACTACAACACCTCCAAAAGCCAACGTCACCCTGAATGCCAGTCAGAAGAGAACAGCAGATGGTCATGTAAAACCAAAAACTTCAAATTCAAACTCAAATTCGCCCAGTCCCAAAGCTCCACCACCTGTCCGAAGCCATACTAGAAATACAAGTACAGTCAGCAATGTATCTTCAGTCGCAACCAGATTGGGAGAGGTCAGTATAATTTCTAGAGCAATAAGCATTTGACTAAGTCCAAACAGCTATCTTCCGAATTACGAACCCGCCTTTCTTATGCAATGGTTAAAGTCAACAATGGATGGGAATCAAAGTCAATTAACGAAGTTGAAACTATTGCATCGCAGGCCGGATCTCCAACATCATCAAATTCAACCTTCAACGCCCGCAGAAACTTTCTTACCTCTCCTAGAGCAGCTATAGCAAATATTCAAGGCCAGGGATCTACGGACGTCTTTGGACAACGACCTACAGCTGATTTTGACCTGTACGCGCGAACAGAACCACCTTCTAGAACCTATGAATCATTCTGGCGTGATCATTCTACTGCCAATGGAGCTCATTCCTACAGACACAACTTATATAGCTCTTCATATCCACAATCTAAATCTCTCGCTCCTCCAGCTGATATACGACCGACTGCTTCATCCAGGCGATCAGATTCAAAATTTTCAAAACCGCCATCCATGCCAGGACAATCAAGCGCCAACTCTCACCACTCTTTCAACAATAATTCTGCTCCACGAACACCGAATACAACTGCTTATAACCGTCCCGAGCATGCCATGACTTCTGTAAATAAAACGATACAAGAACAAGATGCAATCGCAACATTATTATCCATGGGTTCACCGGGTAACTCGCAATCTATGGAGCCTACCTTAACTCCTCCACATGGAAGTCAAACAAGTCCTCGGCATAGTCCTCTTCGGGCAGAATTCAGTCTTCAAAGAGCCCAAAATGGGAAGGGTAAAATGGGACCTCAAACTCAACGCAGAGTGGAATTTGCAGAAAGTGTTAGTAGTTGTGGAAGTGAAAATGGATATCCAGCAGCGAGTCGTAGGAAATCTGCCGTGAGAAATAACCTCAATGGTAGAAGGATAACGGACAGAATGCTAGATGAAATGGTTGATGAGAGTAGTGATGAAGAAGTTGAATTAGCCGTGCCGCAGGGAAGACGTATACCAGAACGTGTCTGAGTTCGTGTAACGCAGATCGATTCTCTTTTACTTTTTGCATTGTGTTATTATCCATGGTCTCAACCGATAAAGTACATTCAATGAGGTATCCTTTAAGGGGGAGTAAATAATTGCATTTTTTTTCCGGAGTAGTCGGCTTTCAAATCATCATTTTCGAGCATCGATACCCCTTTATCATCGCATTCGTCTTTGGCACTTTTAAAATGCATCTGAGGATTATGTGTAGGTTGTCTGATGGGCTTTGGCTGGGCTGGGGCTTGGGCTTGTATATATCGTATTGTTTCTTTAGCTTAGCTTTAGGTGGTTGGCTGGAAGAGTTAATAGGCTGTTTGGAGTTGGTGCATGGAGTATCGTGTGGGTGTTAGGGATGGGATGGGAAGGGATGGGAAGGATAGGAGGGGAGAAGTATTTGCTATTATTCTTATTCATTGTATGAAATATATTCTTGGTATGGGTATGAATGTAGGTGTGGGTGGGGGTGGAGGTTAGATAGATATATATATATTAGGCGAGGTGTTAATAATTATAATAAATCTTAAGTTAGTCAATTATTAATCTTTAAAGTTTAATTGAGAAATTTTTGATATTTTTATATAATATATCGATTTTATAATAAATTTATAATAATAGAAAGAAAATAATATTTATATATATTTTAATTAAAAAAATTATTATTTAAAATAAGTAAAATATTGAAAATTTCCAATCTAATTATATCTATAAAAGAAATAAAATATTATATAATATAATAAATATAAATAACTTTCAGATATAAAAGTATTTTAAATAATAAGATTCTTTTACAAGAATTATATGACCAAAAGGGTGTTTATAGACCAGCAATTGTATTTGATTTAGAATCTGTGACGCCTCACACCTTCGGGTCACGTGGCATGCCCCGTTTGTATTTAATCACAGGAAAACTCTCTTCTCTTGATCAAAAAAAACGATGGCTACCCCAAGCCCCCCAAACCTCTCTAAAACACTTTCCGACAAGGCCAGCAACCTTCTCAATAAGGTCAACGATGCTCAATCCATCTTCAACCCAGTTACCCAACTCCTAGATACCTACCTAAGCTCTAAGGAAGTTCGCGCTCTCCCATCAAGTTCACGAAAACTCCTTACCTCTCTTTGCCTTGAATTTAAGGCAACCATCGAACAATACTTCGACACCTTTGTTACTAATCATCCCCCCCCTAAAAAAACTATTACTCCATTTATCACCCCCCTTTCCCCTCTTTCCCTCCCAATCACTACTTATACAAATACATTTACAATACTTATAGGCTCCAAGCCCTCCTATACTCAAAAAAACTTTATTTTAATTATTATTCTTATAAATAAGATTCTCTTCGATAATTATTTATTTATATAAATCAACCAAATACATCTAACCCAAAGCATTAGATCTTTTGCAATCCTTACAATCCTAAAGAAAGTCCTCGAACCAAATACCTCCCTTTTAAAAAAGATTTAAGAGATCAAAATAGACTTCACTTTCTATATTAGCTCAACAATTAATCTATTAGCCCTTAAAAAACAGAAAACCATTATATCATCCACAATCGGAGACTACAAAATTGAAGCCCAAAAGAAATAAACCATTTGTTGAAATTAAGGTCATTATGGGCCTAGAATTGAGGTCATATGACCATTATGGTGCACGGACCATAATTGGGAATATCTTCAATTCTACCATTACTGTAACTTAGATCCTTAGTTTAACCTACATCTAATAATACTACTACTTCCAAACAACTCAGTTTGAAAACCATTTACTATCTAAATTATATCCTTAAGAAAATCATTATCTTCAATAATCAATTCAAAATAAACTTTATTTTAATTATAAAAGATACAATCTTGTTAAAAGGAATAGAAGTTACCGGTACTAATCACGTGTCGTGATTAGTAATACGGTTACCTAAACAGGCTAGATTAGACGAACCATAAGCAGGCATATTGGTCCCCTCCGAGGATACCAAGAGGAGATTAATATGCCTACACACGTAGTAATATAGTCAATATAGAGGCCTCTTCCACCCAATCTTTTAATAAATCTCCAATATTATAAAGAAATACTCTAATTAGATATTTACTCATATTATCCAATCTCAAACAAATCTTTCATCTAATAAGTATTACTCAATATAAATAATAAACTTTAAGACAAGAACAAAACCACTCAAAAAAAACCTGAAGATCCTAAAGACTAATATCAATATATCTCTTTTAATACAAAAATCAAAGATCACTCAATACAATTATTGCTTTCAATAATACAATACAAAAATATACCTCAAATCATAAATCTGTTATCTATATAATTTGAGAAAATATACAAAAAGCAATTATATTATTAATTATAGTATTGAATATATATACCTACTCAAATATCTTCATTGCAACAATTCTCATTCTATAAATAACCCCAAATACTCCCTTTATTTATAAGAGAAAGAAAGGAAATCAAAATCAGAATATTAGACAATCTAGAAGATATATCTCGAAAACAGAAACTCTATTTGTATAAAGGCTGAATACTCAAAGCCATCATCCAATACACAAATAACCGACTCCCCTACCCCTTTCTCTCCCTTAGACCAACTTAGGCTAAAAACCTCCATTTACCTATTCGGCTCCATTCACTCTACAACCCTCTTCAATACCCGCTCTACTAATCGATTTACAACAATCGCTAACCTAATCTCTATCCCATTTAATAAACTATAAACCATTTACAATAACCCAAACCAATATAGATAAAAAAAAATCTCATACGATCTCATCTTTAATCTAGCAAATATAGATCAAATTAATATCATCACAATCCAGAAGTTATATATATACAAAGATACCTCAAGAAAAATCATTAAAACTTACTCCTTCTACAAAATCTTTATTTTATTAAACAATTAAAAAAAAATCCCTTATATCCTCATCTATATCAGAAAAGAAATAGGAATTCAAATTAATCAAATCAAACTAATAATCTTCAGAGATCTAATATTTATACAATTAATATCTATAAATAATATATTATTTATTATTATAAATATTTGTAATACTCTAATATAATATACAGATAGCAATCAAACTATTAATACACTCTTTGAACTCCAAAACTTCTCAAACAATGCCATCCTACTAAGCGACTTCAATCTCCACCACCCCAACTGGAATCCCCTCCATTCATCCCCTTCAACACTAGCCGAACCCTTTGTAGAATGGTCAAACTCCCGGAATCTATACCTCATCTCCCCAATCGGAACTCCTACTCACTCAAAGGGAAATATCTTAGACCTCATCTTCCTTTCAGGGCCCTATACAGCATATACCGCCCTTATTGAACAATTAGAATACACCTTAGATTATAGCACTTTAAAAACCTACCTTCACTGGAATTACCGAAGCCAAAAGCCTGCAAAGAAACTCAAGCTAAATATATTGAATGAAACACTCTTTAAAGACCTATTAGAAACTAATCTCACCAATATTGCAACTATCCCCAAAACACTCTCTTTAAGAGATCTAGATCAAGCCGCATCATCCCTTACATAAGCCCTTACAAAAGCCTATATAGGATTTATAAAAAGATCTATAAACAAACTCTTTTAATAATTTTAATAAAATAAAGATTATACAAAGGCTATATATAAATATAGAATCATCAATATATTTATATTCAAATACTCTCTTCGAAAAACAATCCGAAAAGCAAAATATTGTGACGCCTCACACCTCCGGGTCACGTGGCATGCCCCGTTTGTATTTAATCATAGGAAAACTCTCTACTCTTGTTTTCCTTCTTCTTTTCTCCTTAGCTTAGTATTTTCTAATACAAGATACTTTACCCAGTATTCTTGAGTGTGACAAATATATCTTTTATATTACAAAAATAAATAAAATAAAAGATATAAACAATATATATCAAATAATCAAATAGTATCAATCTATAAGAATATACTATATCCCTTTTTTAATAGATTTATCAAAATAAATTATTATAAATACTATTAAAGAGAAAAAAGAAACCTTTATTAATAATCTATTAATAAATTTAATTAAGATTGATGACATTCTATTTAATATCTTTACAATCTCAAACAGATCTATCACCTTCCTTGATATAATTATATAAGATATAGAGCTGACCATTTTAAAAGCAGGGAATATAATATCTAATATAAATGAAATCCCAACAAAAATCCTATAAATCATATAACTATAAATAAAAGAAGTAACTTTATCCTTTTTCAAAGGTTATCTACATTTGAGATACCATCCAAAATGCTTTCGATTAGCTACTATCGTAATCATCTCTAAACCCAACAAATCAGATTATATCAACTCAAGATTATACTAATCAATTGCTTTGTTCTTAATCCTAAATAAAGGCCTCGAAAGACTTATTACAAAGAAGATATTATAACTTGCTCTAAAGTATTAAGTTCTAGCGAATCAATAGTTCGAAGCTTTACCCTTATAATCCTTAATAAACCTTATTATTTATATTATATATAATATTGAAATATTCTTAAAATAAAAATTAAAGATTATTTTATTTACAATAAATATAAAAGATGCTTTTGATATAATATTACTAGAAAGACTAATAAATCATCTTCAGGAACAAGGATAATCAAACAATCTAATTAGATGAATTCAGTCCTTCGCCATTAATCGATCCATCAAGATCCGATTAGATAGCAAGATTGATCCGGAAACAAAACTAGAATACGATCTTCCTCAAGATTCACCAATCTCCCCGATCTTGTTCATACTCTACATTGTATCTCTCTTTTAAATAAGCAAACTACAAAGCAGATTCGGATATACAAACGATATTGCGATACTAACAACATCAAATTCATTATAAACAAACTACAATTCTTTAAAAATGAATATACAAAAAACTCTCAAATAAAGAAAAATCAAAGGTATTACTTTTAATCTCAAGAAATCTGAATTTATATATTTCTATAAAGGATATTGAATATTAACAAATATCTTTGCAATATATATCAAATCTATAAATATAAAGATCAAACCTGATCCGTTTAAATAGCTCGAAGTTCACTTTGATAGAAAACTATACTTCAAATTATATATTTAGATCTTTGCAATTAAAGCTTTTAAAAAAGCTAATACATTAAGATCTTTTAATAATATATATCGAGGGATAATTTTATATCTTATCAAGAAAGTGATTAAAGTTTATATACTCAAATAATACTATTTTGTCTCGGAAACTTAATAATCAGGCTAAATCAGATCAAAAAAGAATATTTTAAATAAATTAATCTCAATCTCGAATATAATAGATAATTATATAAATTTATTTAATAAAATAGTAATTATCTATATAAAAATAATTCTTCCAATATACAAAATTACAAATATAACAATACTCTACAAAAAAGTCAAATTCAGATTATTTGAGATCAAATTAAACCAGATCTTACAATTATATATAATATAAACTATTAGATTAGATCTTTATTATCCTTTCAGAATCAGAACAAAGAATATAACCAAAGCTAAAGAACAGAATCATATCCCAGATACAAGATTTGTAAGACTTATTATAGCATTACCAGAGACTAAATATATAAACCCCTTAGCTTTCCTATTCTAGGAAATCAGAGAATTGAGGGCAGAGATCAAGGTCTGTATCAATGGTCCGATAGATAGAACAAAGGTACAAGCAATCGAAGATTTTAAAGCCTTTTACGTTAAGATCCCAAGAAGCGATATACAAATCTTCTTGGATAGCTCAAAAAGTGAAAGCAAGGATAATATAATTGGGGGCGGATTCGTAATCTCACAATTCGATATTCAGATAATATACTATTCTTTCTCATTAGATATAAATGCAGAAGTTACAACCACAATAGTAGGGGCAGCAAAAGCCCTCACTTTAGTATCAACCAAACTGGTTACAGATCTCTGGATCTTCTTAGACAACCATAAAGCTGTTCTCCGATTAGGATCCTATTTCAATGATTCTTTATAAAGAGTCTTTGAAGACTTTCTGAAACTTATATAAGCTTGGGCTATTAGATCAAGGCTCCTACACACCTCCCTCAAGAAAATCCGCATCCGATGGGTCCCAAGGCACCTGGATATCCCTAACAATAAAATAACTGACAAAGCTGCTAAGAAAAGAACAAAACTCTTCTTTCCCCTCAATCCGATCTATATACTAATATCTCTAAAAAGAATAATCAAAATAAAAACTAATAAAACAAACAAACAATTATAAAACACAATCAAACCATAATATTACAAAGATCTCCAATTCAATTACACTTCTAATATAGACACCCTCTCTCTAAAAAAAACTATATTCCATTATATTCTCGTTATCAGATCACAATATAACAATTTCGCAATATACTATAAACACTTCAACCACATTACAACCTATATTCATTACTTATACAATAAAAAAAAAACTTCACTACATTTTTTCTTTTACAAAAAAAGAAAAACCTTCAAAACACTTACAAAAAACCCCCTTTTTCGAAGTTATCCCCTGACTTCTAAGCAATCCCATTAATATAGCCAAACTAGCCGAATAATTAGAATACACCAAATTCTATATAAAAATCTGCTTATAGCATATAGATGCAAAATAAAAATAAAAAAAGAACTTTCTTTTTTTTATTAGATTCAAATAGAATTAATAGATCTCTAAGAATGCTTTTTCTTCTCCTTTTTTCCTTTCTTTCATCTTTCCCTTTTCTTTCATTCAAAAAAAAAAAAACAAGTATATATACAAACAACCAAAACAAATACGAGGAGATAGGGAGAGAGATCAAGAGCCAATAATCTAATGAACGAGGATGACCACAATTACAACCCCAAAAGGTCTATTAGCCCAAACCCCCCCTGCGAAGGCAATTATGTAAACCCTGCTTTAGTCCCTTTTAAATTGTATATAAATACTCCCTCTAACTAGCTAATAAACCATTCAAAGGTTTCTCCTCTAAGCGTCATTTGTCCAAAACTGGAATAGATGGCTAAGGTTGTTATGTGCCAAGGCATGCGCGGTCTACGGCCTATGACGATAAACACAATCAATCAATCAATCAATCAATCTCTACTCTTGTTTTCCTTCTTCTTTTCTCCTTAGCTTAGTATTTTCCAATACAAGATACTTTACCCAGTATTCTTGAGTGTGACAGAATCTACAGGTGAAGCCGGATCTGATCCTCAGACCACCTAAATCGTATACTAATCCCGAGTAATCGTATCATGTGTGGACATGTTAATGTACCTGAGGTTTCTTATATAATAAGGGTGGGAGGAAAGCAGGGGTTTCCGTCACAAATTATACAAACTTGATTAGGCCCGGCCTTTTATAAAGACTAGCTTTAGTTTTAATTTTAATTTTAAATCATTTGTCGTCATTCCATTCGCTCTCGAAATAATTACTACTACGCTACAGTGGGGTCTACGGAGTACAGTGCGAAGTTTTCAACCCCGGCCCGGTTCTGGGCTGGGCTGGATAAACTACGGAGTTTTAGCAAGGCTTGTTGTTCCGAACTTCCCCGTCTACTATGTAGGTATTTTATGATGCTAGGTACAGGTAGGTAGCTAGGTATCTAGCTCCTCCTGTTTGTGTGGTTGGATTTCTTAGGTTTGATATGTACTAGGTGGATATTTCCTCTATCTTATGATTTGCAATTGTTGTCTTTTATTAGGTACGATCGATGATTTGTTGGGTGGTTCACTGATGGTTGGTTGGTTGGTTGGATATTATATTTAATTATTAGAGAGAAGGCTAGGGCTGAATACTTACTTGGTTTAAATAGAATAGTTTAAGTTTTACCTTGTCAAGTTTGCACTTTTGTATAGGTACCTGGTAGGAATTTATTTATCTATTCGTACAACTTGACTTTTTTGTTGGTGATGGTGGTTTTATTGAAATATATGATATGTTTGTTTATTTGTTTGTTAGGTAGGTAAGTTGCCTAGGTAGTGATACGATTTGATTACCTAGGTACTTGGCATATCTCCAATTACAAGTATAGATAGATAGATGGAATGGGCAAGTACATAAAATAGGTACAACTCCGAAGATCCATACAATGCATCTAGACTAAGTAGACTTGGGACCCCATTAATAAGATCGCCACGTGGATGTGAAGTGTAATATATATTGGATTCGTTGTGGATCTTGCAAGCAGTTACTTATTGGTTATTGGGAAAAATTCTGTCAATTATTTCTAGACTCTTGGTGATTGATAATATCAACTCCTGTTACAACTCCGATGTGTACCAACTCCGATTTATGATTGTTCCGATGTTTAAGATGACTTTGGATAAATATATTTAATCGATTATATAATATATTTATGATATGAATATAAAAAATTAATTATTGAGAATGTTTTAATATAATTATTTGATAAAAAAAACTTATTATAAACTAAATATATAAATAAATATAAAAATAATATTTTAAAATATAAAAATAATTTTTAATTTGAATAATTATATTTTTTTCTTATATTATATAAATAAATAATATATATCTTGATAACTTTTTTTAAATTATCAAAATAATGATTTTTGTTAAAGTGAATGGTTCCTGCGTAGCACGTGCACAGGGCACTAGTCCTATTAGGACTAGATTGAGAAGCTCTCTGTAAGAGAGCTTCGCACTTCCGTAGAACTTAGAAGAGTGATTAACCTACTAGACCAATATTACCTCAGTTCTGCCCTATCAGCTTCCCACTATTCCCTGTGTGAGGTCATTCCTTTTAACAATTTTGTTACATTCAAAAATACTGGATAAAGTATCTTATATTAGAAAATACTAAACTAAGGAGAAAAGAAGAAGGAAAACAAGAGTAACGAGTTTTCCTGTGATTAAATACAAACGGGGCATGCCACGTGACCCGGAGGTGTGAGGCGTCACAGATTTGATCTAAATTTTTTAATTTTATTATATAAATTTTTATTTTATATTAAAGAGATGCATGTTACGACGGATCTCACATACCTAACATCACGTGATTAGCATCATGTGATATGAGGATCCCAGTAGGCTCAGCTGTCCCAGTACAACTGGGACAACTGGGAGCACTGGGACGCATGCCACGATGGTCTATATAATCAAGATGGATTTCCTTTGTATAGAGCTTCGTGCTCAAGATCAATCATTTAGTATACTCTACTATTAGTTACGAATTGCATTATTGTCATTACTTAAGTCCCTGCTTGACGCCTAGTTATAAACCACCTCGAGAGCCTAGAGCACTTCCACGTGATCTAGACGGCAAACCTCGTAACAATACATCAGGGTTATAATTTTATATAAAATCTAATATCACATCATATATAAATGTTTTAATATCTATTTTTGAAAAAAATTACATAAATCAGAGTTATACATCGGAATTGTTGTAGATCGGAGTTGTTATAGTTCGGAGTTGTTGTAGATCGGAGTTGGTGCTTTCCATGTGGGCATTACATTGAGTTAAAGTAAACCCTTTTGCTAAAACGGTATGACGATAGGGAGCGACAATAATACATCAGACGCATCTTTGATACCCACTTTATCTACATATATAAGAAAGCAGACAATCCTCAGAGTAAATCTGCTCTTTACGTGTACAACTCAACACATTTTACAAGCTTACGACTTATCTTAACCTACCTTTTTCCACATATTCTCAAAAATCACACACATTGTCGCTATGTCTAACTTGGAATATTTCAATTACGAGGGTTATGGACAGACAACCGCTAAGCAGAATTTTTGGTACAGCCAAGCTGTTCAGGTAGGAGATGTAATCGAATGCTCTGGTCAAGGTAAGTCTTACATTTAAATTAACCCGCTTTCTCACCTAAAATCACTCTTCCTCTTATCTTTATTCAAGGAAAGAAAGATATTTAATTTTGAATAAATCACCAACAAAATGACTCCTACAGGTGGATGGGATCGTATCACTGAGGAAATCCCCAAGGATATCGAAAAGGAAATCGAGCAAGCATTTGACAACGTCGAGGCTGCATTAACGACGGCCGGTTCCAAAGGCTGGGAAGATGTTTTCTCCTTGACGTCGCACCATATGCCAATTAATGACGAAACTATGGGGATTATGGTTCGACTGTTGAAGAAATACTGTCCGAATCACCAACCTATCTGGACGGCTCTTGGAGTCCCTGCGCTCGCTCGCACAGATATGAGGGTTGAGATTGAAGTCAGAGCGTACTCTCCAAAGAAGTAAATCGGAGTGTAGAGTTCGGAATGTGGAGGATCGGAAGTGTAATCTTGGAGGGTTTGGAGTTATATCTTTCAGATATATTTGAGCCGAAATGGGTATAGATATATTTGAGCCAGCAAGAAAAAGATTTTGTACTACTGCATGATTTTCGATGGACAAAAATATCATCACTCAGGAACTAGAAAGATGTCGCTCACCACGGAAATAATCGATTGCTTGATACTGCTTGTGAAATTGTGAAAATATACTGCCCGTTAGACGAGGCAAACTAATCATTAATCGTTTGAAATATCTAAAAGTTGTGAAAATAACTTTTCCAAAACCACAGAACCCACAGCAAAATCAGATGATTCGTCTGCCCAGAACTTCATGGTAGTGATCGCTTCTAGCACAATCTCTTTCCAGTTATCCAATGAATCCAGACGTAGTTTTGCCTTGACTGCGGCAAGTATAGAGAGTGCTGAAGATAAAATCAGTCTTCCAACAAACCAACTTCCATGGTGTCTATGCCTATTATGTCTAAGTAAGATCCAGTGAATGCTGCCGTCAATTGCTTTTTGAGCAAGCTGTCGCACTCGCTCCGGAACTTTACTTGATGATTGGTGTATTATTTGGTGTATTATATAGTATAAAAATGGTCGATAGAGCCATGCTTTTACCTCCATTGCACGAGTTCGTAAGGTGAATCGTAGCTCATGATCGGTTTCTATACTATCGTTGAATTGGATTTGCTCTGGAAGGCTGGCATGCCTATATTAATGTTAGCTAGAATATATAGCTCATCGAAAGATCATCGTGCTACCACTCATTCAATTGTCTTTCGAATTCATCTGCAGCCTTGATCATATGACGGAGATTATGCACGTTCCAGCTTCGATAGCCATTATCGTACAAATTAAGAAGAACTCGAGTACCAAGTCTACTGATTATGATATCTGATAGATAAAAAAACCAGGCTTGTTCCTGAAGTATTTCGAAACCAACTTCCGATACTTCTTGTCGTGAATCGTTTACTATAGATGATTCAGCAAAGATCGTGTTTTACGAACTGGAATTCGTACCCGATGCAAAACTTGTCGGTGGTTCAGGTAATGAATGTGCATAGTTAACCTGAGATAGTACTGACGGAGGTAAAGGTACCTCTGTTCGCAACTCGCTATTTGCATTGGTATTAGAATTCGTCTACGGACGGGATAGATTTATGAGAAACTTCATACCACATAGACTTGTAGCAAGACCAGTACAAGCTAGCTTCAATACACTGAGTTTCGGGAGACTTAGTCCTTGATATATCTCCTCCAAAGTGTGACTCTTCACACTTGAGGTACATGAAAAAGTTGGATGAGGCGTCAGCGAAGAAATTCCAAGCCCTCAGGGGGTGTACCATATACATTTCGTATACACCACACAAGAAGATACATTGCGTTGCGATCACGCTGGGTTTCAGCAGTCCAATTCGTTTGCGAGCAGCTGTAAAGTAAGCCGATCCAAGTGACAGGTCTTGTTCTCCAAGAACGCTCCTCGAGGTCTCCATTCTATTGTCTGGAAGGATGCGATTATGCGAATCACCAAGAGGCTGGGAAACGCAGCCTAAAGCGCACATAATTAACTATGATTTATTAATTAAACATCTTTGCATGTGAGGACACTATCTTGAACTCGGTACAATAACCGGACTCACCACTAAACAAGAGGACGCATCCCATTGCAAACCTTCAAGAGCGATCTTAAATCCAAATTCTCTCGCAGTTTTCGGGTCTAGAATTGGACTTTTGGTGTGTACGCGAGTGAGAAAGATTTCCACAAGCTGAGGCACAGCCTCCTCATTAATGAAGGCTGATGGCTGAGAAACGTCATGTTCTGATTCTTCAGGTCTGGAATCATCAAAAAAGTTTTGATCAAATAAATGCCTAGTAATGAAGCCTGTCGGATACTGGCTTTCGAATACTGGCCAATCAAGGACAGCGTCAGGGGAAGTCCGGGCAGAAGGTGTTAGCATATTTTCATCCAACTGGAGCTCATGATCTCTTTCTGATCCAAGGCCTTCCCCATTGGTAGCAGGAGCTTGCCACCTAGACCTCAACGAGACTTTTTCCGATTGAAATGTGCCCAACTCTTGAGAAATCCGGCGTAGGGTTTCTGCCGAATCTACTTCTCTCTCGTCAAGTTTTTGGAGTACTTGATCTAGACGTTCCACTATTATTTGACTCGCAAAATCCAATCTAGTCTCTTAAGTTAATAATTCATTTTGAAATAAATCAATTAGTGTATTGGATATACGAACGTGTATGGACTATTTGTTTCATCATAAACACACTGAGCCCCCAAAGCTTGGCAGCATCCACATACCGGCTTTTCGTTATTACATTTGGTCTTTCGAGCTCTGCAGACCTGGCACGCCCTCAAGGCTCGTTTTCGTGGATAAGAATTTTCTATCCGAGATTTTTCAAGACGTTGACGCTTCGAATTCAGAGGTGTGGTATTGGAATTATCATGTGTGCCTATCACCATGCTCGAGCTCGCCTCCGAACCGTTTGTCTCCATAGTCAAATCCATGCCCGTCTCCCTTCCCATGGTCATGATATATGATAAATAAAATGCTAGTTTCTAAGAATCTATACCTAGTTTGATGGACTGAAAAATTAGCAAAACCACGGTCGAAGTAAAATTATAATAAGATCTTACTTCTGGGGGATATATCATTCTGGTTGAAAGGTTAACTTAGGTAGAAGTGCCTGGAGTATAAGGTCAGATAACTGAACCAATTGCAAGTCTAGGTGGCTGGGCTATTGCTTAGACGTTGAAAGTGTGGCATTCAAGTCACGTGTTGAGAGCCGTTACGATCAAATCAAGTAAGATCTTAAAATATTGTTACGATAGGTAACAATTAGGTCACAGGATTAGTAATAACACGTGATGCGAGGACTCGAAGAGAGCGAAAGGATCGAAGCTCGATCCCTTCGCTCCCTTCGAGCCACGAAGCATGAAGGTCTATATAATCAAGATGGATTTCCTTTGTATAGAGCTTCGTGCTCAAGATCAATCATTTAGTATATCCTACTATTAGTTACGAATTGCATATCATTATTGTCATTACTTAAGTCCCTGCTTGACGCCTAGTTATAAACCACCTCGAGAGCCTAGAGCACTTCCACGTGATCTAGACGGCAAACCTCGTAACACAAGCAAGAAAGTAATACCTGATATTAATATCAGAAACAATAGTAATACTTAAAACACAAACTAGCAGAATCATCCATCCACCTATTCTCCGGAGAGAGAAAAAAAACATCATTCACCAGGTTCCCTCGCAAGCTCAACTCTCTTCCCAACCAACGCCAAAACAACCAACTCGATATTCTTTTCTCACAAAACGCACTTCATAGCATCGCCCCAACTGGGCTTTAGCGCACGTGTTTGAGACGTATATCCGAGTGTGACGATTTTCAAAAACGGGAACACATGTTTCACGCACGCTAAGTCGTACAAATGGAGCTCTAGATTCGGATTATCGTGCGGAGATTGCAAATACAGTTCTAGGGATTCTAGAGATTGGGGAAGGATTTCGTGGAGTTGGTAATAGGTTGTTTAGTCCTTTACTCTGAACACGAGTTCTTAGATTTGGATGTGGGGAGATTTTAGATGGAAAGAATCTCTAAATCTCGTGGAGATGTGCAGGTGCGGGTAGTCTTTTTAAGCCCGAAGATGCTGGTTAGAGAGATGGATTTGAGGGTTTCGCAGTGGATGAGGAGTCTTATTACCATTTCCTGGAAGAATTCGCGTGTGATTGTATCGAAGTATTCTGTCGCAGGAAAACATTTTGAGTCCGCTGAAGAGGCAGATGGAGGTAAACTAGCCGTCGAAATAGACTTTAAAGTCATGTGAGGTATCTAGTGAGTCAATGGGACATGTATCAGGTTCTTCGATCAAGCGATCTAGTACTTCTTTGAATGCGAAGTCCGAGATCTTCAAGACTTTTACGGTTAGTCATTCCAGAAGCACATCGATCTCATGCGTATCCATTTTTTATCTAAAAAAGTCCTCATTATAAGCTACTCTGGGAGAAGTGAGGTAGTGGACTTCTTCCAGTGCAAGATTTCGAGGGGCGTGCATTGCACGTTAAATACATCCGGGATGATGTGTTTACATGCTGGCACATTTTCCAAGGGGCCATAAGCGCTTGATTTGGATGTTTGATCCCAGGGCTTAACAAGATGAGGATAATGATCAGTGATTCCATATATGAACAACCCCATCTTAGAGGTCGTCGTCCAAACATTTTTCAAAGATCTGCCACGAGCCGTGAAGGCCTTCCAATCACCGACTAGAGTGGCTAGCTTTCGAACCTTTTCGTATCGTTGCAACTCCAACCCTTCGAGCTTGTCCGGCCTCTGATGCATGATGGGTTCTGAGCGTTCTGTCATGCTTCAACATGCCAAATCTACCTCCCCATTTCCCCTGATCTAACACGATTGAGAAATATTTCACGTTTTGCCGTAAACACAGCCGCAATATGAGCGCTTGAATTAATCTACCAAGGTTTGTGATGGTTGCTCTTCGTCACTGTATCTGGTGTAAAGGAGAGGTTCCGTGATTTCGTGGGATGTTCTGCACGTTCATGCTAATTATGCATATTCTTATCAATTTCAAACTTAGAGTAGCTCACTCGAAGACACTCGATGATTTTGGATTGGGTCTCTAGAGGAATGGTTCTAGATTTGACCTCATCTTCGTTCAAAAAGTTCCAGATACTTTATTGTGGTAAGCGATGATAAATACTGATAGTAAAATGTTTCCGGTCGTTCGTTGTGAGATTCCTGAGATTCAAAAGTTCGAGGATGATTGGAATTATCCCGTGCTCGTTAAAGTAAAACTTATTTTCGATGAATAAGAGCTAATATTTAAACATGACTTAACGTTGACCTACCCGGCTTTCAAGATGAAAGGGTTATTCCTGTATATATTAAGAGGGTTGTCTTATGATTAAAGCTACCATTCCTGACTATATAGACCCGCAATCGTGCTTGTCATATTGAGCCTAATACCAATGGTTGCGTTTTCCATAATAACTTTGATAAGAATGGCAAAATAACAATCATAGGGCTAGGACTGGTCTCTCTCTAGCCTTTCACTACTTGAAGCGAGAAAATCACATGGATGATTGCTTGACCCAAAAAGTAATGAAGACCAACACACAAAAGTATAGAAAGGGAGAGTGATAACCCGCAGGATCTCCCAAAAAGAATAATGGGTCAAAACATCGCGTGGTTCCTGCTATTAAGCTATTGATTGAGGAAGGATTAGGAGAGTTGCATTTATGAAATGGAACTATTTCAGTTTAGGCCCGAAGCTTGACTAAACGGACGACTCCTTAGCAGGGACTGGGGGTTTGAATCCACAAGGTTGGCCACTTGCCGCTGGAACTACCGCTTCTAATAAATTAATGTATTCCTTTGAGATAAAGCATGAAAATCCACATAAGTACCTGCCACACTAACCTTCAAACTGGGCCTCTATTTATTTTTGCTGTGCCATATTTCGGTTTCCAACTCATTCACTTCTTCTCTAGCTGCGTTAAGTTCTAAACTCTCCAAGACTTGAGATAATCAGTCGATACCCTACTACAGAGATAGAGAAATAAGAGAGACCTCAATAATACAAAAGTAAATATTATCGAGCCATCATCTCATCTCATCTGAGGATTTGTTCCTTCAATCTTGTTTTTCCACTCCCAGATCGCAATGTACGACAGCACGATGTAATGCACAGAATTGTTGCTGCCATGTTAATCGATATCAAAGATCCTTATCATGAAAATGAGAAAGGAAAGAAATAACGAATTGTGGTATGAAGTGTACTTGAATAAACGTCTCCATCAAGCGATGATGAAGCAGTGTTGTCATGTTTCACGTGACCGCATATCCACAATCCGCGCAAAAGTGGCTTGTCGTTGTTATCCATGGATAGGGCTGAAAGTCCGCCAAACTAGGATTGCTTAGGTAGGGTAGGTGCCTATTGAAACATATTCACACAGACCACAGGTTATAGTTCTAAACAAGAGCTAAGAGCAGATTAACGTTCACTTCTTCTTTTCTGTCTCTGTCTTCGCTTGTATGTTATCATACCCCTTCATTACTATAAGTTATTTATCATCTTTTTCCTATATATCGACTTCACCAGCAGATTACCATTCCAAACGTAAAGAAAAGAGATAACCAATGCGTAAGTTCTGTTCATCTCATTTATATATAACATCTCATCTAAACCATCTCTCACCAAGTTAGCAGGTTTAACCCCGAGACAAAGATCTTTAACACTATTTCTCCCAAAACTTGAAAATAATTTCAATCCACTTCCAAGATTTCTATCATTTCTATCTCTGCATGTCAAAA